GCTCCTCGGATGACAGCATCACAGAAGCAAGTTTCACTGATCGTGTGAAATGCTGTTTGTCTAAGCTACTTATCAATTGTTAGTAGTTTGACTAGATTTCCAACTGCTCGATTGGGATTTTATTGTGAGATGGGGCGGTGTGCTGAAAAGCTGCTAACCACCGCACAAATTTTGTAAACCAGTTTTTCTCCTGCTTTTGGCTTCCACTTTAGGACCTGTTCCTCCTGGTTTTCTTTGTTCACATTCTAGTGTATCAGTCATAACGGGCCAACTGCCATTTTTCATTTGCTCGTTTCATCGGTGCATGGTCTTGCTGAATTGATTGCTTTATTGAATAATCGGCGTAGATAGTTCCAAAGTTCCCTATTGAGATTTTTGTGGGGTTTGTCTTTTTCCAACATTTTCGGGTTTTCTGTGATTACTTCGTGAATCTTACCTTTCCAGCACCTCCTTCTTTTGGCCGTTGACCTTATGATTCTCGTCGCGTCCCATTTGAAGTGCTTCCATCTACTTGCGGGTACGACACATACAGTCTCTTGGTGGCAACAACGGGTCTGTCCAGTGTTTCTGGTCTTGGAAGATCAAAGTTTTTTTAGCAACAGCTTGATGTCTACTGACGGTTCGTGTGCTTTTGGGATAGGGCACTCAGTAGTCGGTAGGTGACTGACATGCCGTTTTTATATTGACAGTCTCACCCGGACGCTATAAAACACCTTGCTTTTAAAGGACGACCCCAACAGTCCAGTTTTCGTGCGCATGATGAAAACCCCTCTCAAGCACACGCTTTTCAGACCAAAACATTGGTTTTCTCCCTGTCGTTGACAGACTACTCGAAAACGTTGGCGGGGTAGCGTCATGGGTAAGTCTCAAGCGTCTGTTCACCATAGCGTACGCTTCGGAGTGACCGTCAGGAAAATGTCGATTGGGAGTTGTTCCATAATTTAGCAAAAGCGTATGGAAGGCTTCTGATGTGACTACTTATACTTCCACTTTTGTCAATAGGCGTTTAAAGGTACCTACCAGCCGTTTAGTTTGACTTCTAGATTTAAAAGGAATGATGGGGAAGTAACGTTTGTGATTCGGAGTCTTCGAACGAATTCCCTAAACTGATGGGTTGTGAACTGAATAACACTGTCGAACACAATATTTTCCAGAATACCGAATATTGAAAATAAATGCCACAGTTTAGTGAGGGTTGCCATCGTTGCTGTCTGAGACATAAGAAAGTCTTCAGGTCACTTACTGAATGCCTCAACTTCTAGGAGGAAGCTTTGCCCGTTAATTAGTCCTGCAAAATCCGCATAAATGCACCACTGTGGTTATTCTGGCTGCGACCAAAGCTGCGGCGAATTTCGGCTGGGTAAATTCTAGGCAGCTGCACATCGGGGCAGATCCGACATACCTGTTCCGTGTGCTCATCCACACACGGGCCAACGAACAGCTGCGAGCGAGGGCCTCCAAGCAGCTCATCCCTGGACGCCCTTTGTGGAACTGTGCTTGTGGCTTAGTTTGGTGGCAGCATCGATTCAATCACCAAAGAGAAGACAGCCACTGACAACGGATGATGCATTCTGTCGTTACCCTGATGGACAGGTTTTTGGCCAAGTGCTATGGTGGTGCTCTATTGCCCTCTGTAGTACGTTGTCCGTTTTGGCGACATTTTTGGCCGTATCAAAATTCACGGGTAGTTAGCTGATGGTCTCCAAAACTGTAGAGTGAAGTTCCGGTTGGATGTCATCGGTTTCTATGATAGTATCTTCTGTTTTCAACTCACTAAAAGGAATCAAGCGCGCAGGCGCATCCTCCTGTACGATTTGCTTGACTGAGGCGTACTTTATGCTAAGGCTATAGTCAAGCAGAATCGTGCCCCACCCTTGTAGTCCGTTGGCTGTGTAAACCAGGATATTTTTTTGGAACCAACCATATTCAACAGTGGTTGGTGCCAGTTCATTGAGGCGTGCCTCGAAGTTATCGTGGCAATACTGGAAGTGGAGTTGGATAACGGTCTCTCCAACATGACACTCGTCAGTAAGGGACTGAAGAGTTATCTCGGAAAATTGTTCAGTCTTGTTCAACAGCCTCGCTCTGATATCACTTTGTGAACATGACACTTGAAATGGTCTTCTGTCTTGGTAGATAACCTGAGTTCTTTACATTCAAGATTAACTCTACCGGCAAAGTGATATAGTCTTCAGGTTTCTTTTTCGCTAGTTTCATACAGCGGTAGGGGATACTAAACTACGAAGAACACTTACAGGAAATTGTTGTTGTTCTGTCAAAACTGAGACATCGCGTGTTCTTTGGGAGGATAAATTTGAAATACTGTGTGCCAAGCTTTGTGAGCAATGAGCGCACTCTCCAGACATCATTTTGTGGTTCAGTTCGAACTTGAAAATTTCTTCGTAATGTTTGACTAAAATTAAAAATTACACCAGCATCAGGGTTATAATAGAGCTGCATGATACTGCTGGTGATCGAAATGACTAAATTTGCATCCGAAGCGAAATTTGGTGGTTAAATTTTAAGCTGCTGCGTCAATCTTTCCACCAAACTTAATTGCGTGCATCAAACAAATTTTGTTGTTGCAGCAGAATCTCTTCCAACACTAACGGTTATTGTCATGGTCCCATGGGTTCGGACGCCGGCAATCTGTTATATCTAACTGATCTCTTCAGCGCCAGAGCCTGGTTGTCAGAAGAAGGTTCGCCAACCAGAACACAACACCTTTGTTGATAGCAAGCAAGTACAGCAATTACAAAGGGCCTCGCGCTATTTCCGAATGGCTTACTTTGTTCATTCAGCGTTTTGCTGAACTCACTGATTGATTCACTTCTCGGCTTCCCTAATGAGATTTCCATGGAGTTGAAGGGTTTTAGTAAATTCGGGAAATTTGGGAGTGTTTTCAGGAATCTGACCTTTTCGACAAACTCACGAACTGTGAACAGTTGGGAACGCGCGATCTACAGGCCACAAGCATTGGGCCTCGAACGGCTTAACAGCATTGTGATAAACTCGGAATCGGCCGGAATTCAGCGCTAGTCACTTTTTGAATTTACATTACACGTCAGTTGTTTGAGTGCTTTCCTCCATCTCAGCTGCACTTTGTGGGCACTTTATATTTTTTGCTTGGCTGTGGTCTTTCTTCTCTACCTGTTACCTTTCTTCTGCAAAGTTTTTGTATATCTCGCTTGTGTTTATTTCTACCCTTCCAATATTCTCCATTCCTAGTATTTTGTGCACTGTTTCATGCAAATTTCCAGAAAACACTATCCTAACTTCAAGTTTAGACGAGTTCTATGTTGTACAGAATAATTTATATCAAATTGTAAGTAACTACCTAGACTGTTCCTTTAGTAGCCATAATGCTGAAATCACTTGAAGACTCTATTTTCTGTGTTGAATATATAAGCTTCGTCAGTTTAGCATCTTTCTCGAAGTCTAATGAACAATATTTCACGCACAAACATCAAATGTAATCAGTGTGAGGGTGAATGGCTTTGTGTCACATGGAGATGCTGTTGGATACCAATTAAATATATCATCCGTCACATTCTTCAAACGGATGTGCTGAGGAAAGTGAATTACATGTTCTGTCTCAGTACAAGAAACAAAAGGTGACGGGAAATATTTCAGTCACTCCAAGTTCGCGTGTACGTCATGCAAGAGACCCCAATCTCTTGTTATGCTGCCCGTTTACTCATCATTCTAGAGTGCAAAATGTGAGTGTGAGCCTGTGAAATTTAATTTAAGACACATCACTCCTCTTCTCAGAGAAAATAATGAAAGATCTACCAAAGACTGGTAGAAGTACGGTTGATCTTGCTAGTTCCAAGGTTAGAATTCAAGACCGGGCATTGCTGAGGATTAGCTCTGAATGACTAAAACTACCATATTTTGCCTTCATACTGGTAAGCGCCAAATAGACTATTCACGTTGAAAGTGAAAGAATAGTGACCGAGCGAATAGAGCACGACTGAACTTCAACCAGTAGCTTAACTCAGTGATCTCGCGTACTACGAATCAGTTGGATTCTCCGGAACTGCGTATGCCAGATGAATCCGCTGACCTGATTCAATCACGAAAAATTGATCCGACTCTTTGATCTATCCTTCATTACTTTATTCAAGTTGTGTGAAACTGTCGAGCTTTTTTTATCGACGAACTCGTACGTGTTTCCGAACCAATCTCTACACCGTTACTGATGTAGAGTTCACGCCAGATCAGGTAAACAAAAGTTACATTAGCCGGCTTGTATTATGCTGTTATTTACGACGCAAGAACTACCTGCAGTTTTGACCCGCTCTTTCGACACAAGCATTAGTTAACACGTCCTACCAAATAATGCTCAACAAGAATTTGGTATCACCTAAGTTTACACTGAACCTTCCTTATGTCGATTAGTTGAAAAAGCGATTGAGTAGTCATCGCTGTCGGAAAGTTTGGAAACAATCCTTAGATTCATTGCTAAGCAACGTTTCGCTTTCGACACAAAATCTTTGTCAGGCTAAGTGATTCGATTACGAGGTTGGTCGAGATTCAAGGCGGAAGAAAAATTAATAAGATGAGTCACACCAAATCAGTGTTAGGTGGTGAACAAGGGTTGGGTCACCAAGTAATCAAACATAGAAAAGTGAACAGCTTTCACGACTATCACAGTAGTTTGAATCCTCACATCAAGTAAAAGCTTGATGATACAGTCCGCCTCGGGCACATTACACTTTCAGAACTGCATGACACATAAGATTAGTGAAAAATTAAAAACTACTGTCTGCTGGAACCCAACAGGCACTCGCTTTCGACCAAAATCTTTGTCAGGCTAAGTGATTCGATTACGAGGTTGGTCGAGATTCAAGGCGGAAGAAAAATTAATAAGATGAGTCACACCAAATCAGTGTTAGGTGGTGAACAAGGGTTGGGTCACCAAGTAATCAAACATAGAAAAGTGAACAGCTTTCACGACTATCACAGTAGTTTGAATCCTCACATCAAGTAAAAGCTTGATGATACAGTCCGCCTCGGGCACATTACACTTTCAGAACTGCATGACACATAAGATTAGTGAAAAATTAAAAACTACTGTCTGCTGGAACCCAACAGGCACTGGAACCGTTTTAAACTACTCATCAGCACGCCCAAATTCCGTGTACGCCAATATTGTCTCATCGATGTTTGGTCGAGTCAAAGCGCTGTACACAGAGGAGATTGACCGAACAGCAGCTGAAATCGAGATCGCAGACGGACTTCAAGAAAGAAAATGCGCTGTGAGCTTCATTAGGCGGTACTTAAGAAGGATATTGGCTCCGGTATCTAGACCCGGTAAGGAATGGATTGACACAGAAATCATTCCATATAAGGCGGGAACTTTGGATATCATTCCAAGACTGCCATTATTTGAGTAGGGAGAAGTGAGAAACGCTACGCTACCAGTCTTTGGTAGAACTTCGATTATTTTCTCTTAAATTAAATTTTACAGGCTCACAGTCACATTTTGCACTGCAGAATGATTAGGAAACATGCAACATAACGAGGTAATGGGGTCGTTTGTATGGCGTGCACGTAAGCGTAAATGGTTTTTTGAAGTATTCCCGTCAGGTTTTTTTCCTGTAGTGATACGGAACACGTAATCCACCTACCTCAAAACATCCGTTTTAAGAATGTGATGCGTGATATATTCAACTGTTATCAAGCAGTATCTTCCTGGAACATCGAATGATTCTGGAAGTTGTGAATAACGTAAACGTGGTAATTTCTCATCGAAGTTATACGTCCCTTATTTCTCTACGTTCTACGTTATATATCTCGTATATTTCTAATCACTATTGTTGCCAAAAGAAGATAGTATATATTTGAAGGAGCTGAGAACAAGGACGATAACTGCTGGTTGGGTCACTCAACACATTGGGTTGTCCTTGAATTGATATTGTCACTTAAACAACATTGTTATTAGTAGTACGTCAAGGAGGCAATCTTCTGTGGTTTTGCAGATCTGAGTTTACTGTAAGCTTTAGTTTCATCCCAAATGGCGGGTTGTGGCAGTGTCGCAAATTGTCGCGAATTTCGTGCAATTTCGTGCTTACACTTGATAGTGGATGTCTACCCACGAGTCTTTCATATTATTCTATGTGAACATAAACATCTTCTTGGTGGTCTTCCGGGTGGATGGATCAGTAACTGTGGGAGTGGAGCCTAGTCACTTTATGTGAATTATGCAAAACCCTGTAACATATAGTGAATGCTGACACAATCCAACTCCTGTTAAGTGCGACTTATCCGAGCTTTAGTCAAGTCCATTTTTATATATTAAAGAGTCTCCGCAGTAGTGGTGTTTTGACGTCTTTCGTCGAAACGTTGTAGGCAAATCATATCGACAGATCACTCAGGTAGATCTTCCTTGAATTCAACCATGTACCGCCATGTATCCCCATATTCAAATGATGCATTGTTAAACTGCGAGGCTTATTTTTCTTCATGGTAAATAGTGTTTGCCGTTATCATTGATTCTCTTTGTCTCAGCCCTCTGTAATTCTCTCTTATTCATTTATTCATCTAATATATTTCAGGGAAGTTGCAGTGAAGCCACACTTGTCGCCTTGTTTGGAGCCAGAAACCGAAGCATCGCAAAATATCAGAAGGAGCACCCTAAGGCCACGGTCTATGAAGCAGCTTCAAAGCTAGTTGGATATTACTCAGACCAGGTACATTACGAGTAGTTTTCAGAAGGGTTTGCCTCGGTGACTCGTCTTACATGCCATGTTTTCAGCTACCATTACAGGTCTCATCAGGGAGAAACCCTAGGGATCAGCTCCAGATCCAAACGACTCATATGTTTGGTTGAACTTAAACAACAACTGTAATCATTACGCTATTGTCCAGATCATCTGTTTAATTTATTACAATGGAGACGACTAACGAATCTGGAGATATTTGTGTACGGAGGAATACATGTTAGTTGGCAGAAAAACCTCGCTTTACCCGCTCTTCATGTGTTCCACTCCTCAGCACACCCAGAAAGACATGTATATTCCTGCGACAATATTGCGTCAAAAATAACAAAAACATGGTTCATATATATACCGCAGCAATCCAAAGGGATTAGTTTTGTTCGCCCATTTTAGATAAGAAGATGCGGAAGAAATTATGCCAAATGTTATCACTTCATATACATGTCCACAAGATTTTCATTTAAACGACGGATATCAACCAAACATACACAGTAAGATTAGTTCCTAATTTTTCTTACATCTGTACGTATGTTACACCTTTGTAATACGCAACGCGATCCGTAAATTCCATCCATCGAACCAACAAATGTCGGTTATACTCCAAAGGTTACTTGGGATTAGACGTCTGTTGATTGTGTTACCTTAGGCCTAAGTAGGATGTCTTCACAAGACATTTTATACTGATCATTGTCCACTTCGAATTTTCAATTCCACCATTACCACAAAAAAGCGGAAATGATAACTACCGTTTTGAAAAAAAAGAACAAAAATCGTTCAGCTGTGGCACCCTTTTGGTGCCTGACTGCCATTCCACCTGAAGGAAGCACGAGTGCTGTGGTACTGCCAGGTTGCTCAAGCCTAGACAGAGGAAGTCGAGAGGCGGAGGTCGGGTTCGAACCAAGGGCTTTCTGGTCAGTAAATTCGCAACCTTACCACCCAGTCAGAATCCCGCTTGATACTCATGGGCTAAGCGTTCGGGTATCACCGTAATACGATGAAGAATCAGTGTAGCCAGAAGCTCTGTTAAAACAAGAGTAAAACTAACATCTTTGTGGCTAACAAATTCATTACATGTGCCCAGATAGACACAAATAGGCTAGACGTGCACTGAATGAGGAATTCTCCGCCATCCTTGAAGGAAGCCAGTGGGAGGTCGTCCGAGCCAGCGGCACGATGACGTTTGGTTGGGGATGTACACTGAGGCTACTACAGCTACTAATAATAGTAATAGTCGTTCAGCTGTAACACCCTTTAGGTGCCTAACTGTGATGCCTCCGAAAAAAGCCCAAGTGCTGCGATACTGCCAGGTTACCCAAGCCTAATCAAGAGAAATCAAGGGACAGAGGCCGGGTCCGAACCAGGGATCTTCGGGGCAGTAAATTTGCTCTTTAACCACTGAGCCATCTCGCTCATCATTCTGAAAACTCGAAAATGACGCACGCACCCGCCTTGGTATCCAGGTCCAGATCAGTCGTTGTTCCATGTAATGAAGCGGTCCCATCAACACTCAAGATCTCCAAAAAATATCTCGGTTGTACACTCAGATTTTGTCCGGCACGTAGAGTTAAGGAATAGTTTCACCGCCAGAGTTTCACTAGGATTTTCCTTCGTCCCAGTAAAACATGCTAGGTTATTTGTTCCTGGCAGAGACTCCATATTTCTGCCTCACGTTGGAACCGCACCACATTGTGCTTGTGCGGTGATACAACGATGTCAGTGAACATGCATCTGTGGAAGTGCAGTCTACGAAGGACAGAATGTCACAAAACAACAGTTCCTTCCAGGTGTCTATGTCGTGGGTCAAAGTTGACAGCATGACACTGACAACAAAAATAAGAAATTACTTTTTTAACACTCCCAAGAAGCTCCCTATAATTATCAGTGATAATTGAAAAAAATTGGCTAACGACAATCGAACTGCGGAAATTCCCATTAGAATCGCCTAGAAAACAAGTCCTCATCAACAAAATTCACTAATCCTAAAGCTGCTCATTTAGCTATACGATCTCCACATTTGGTTGTCTCAAGGATGTGAGTGCAAAAGTTTAAGCTATCTCATGAACTGGGTCCACATTAGGTGTAAAATCATTTCATTGTTTGAATCCCTAGAACCAGCTAGATGTTCCACAGTCAACATGAGGAAACATTGGAAAATATTTAGTTTCACCTTTCCTCCAGGCGAAAATACTCTAGTCCGGCAAACCTCATAGTAGTTTACACTGAGATGCTTCATTGAGTAATGAGTTATTAGACATGGTATTTTTTGATTTATTGTTTTTTATTTCTGAATTCGTTGTTATGGTTTGTCTTAATTTTAAATTGATAAAAATTAAATCTAGTGCGAGAATAGCTTTTACAGCTCATTCCATCTTATGTATCGGATGTGTGTGCAAGTTCACTGGTGGCCTGTGGATAGGTATATTTACGACGGTGAGGCGAGATGAACCAAGTGGTTAGAGCGCGAATTTACTGACCGGAAGGCCCGTGGTTCGAACGCGACCTCTGTCACTCGACTACCCCTGTCAAGGCTTGTGCGACCTGGTAGTATCCCAGCCCTCGTGACTCCTACGTGTGGCATGTCAGCTAGACACCGAAAGGGTGCTACAGCTGGACAATCTCACACATCATGGTAGGGAACATGCTACGAAGGTTGCTTTCTTATTCTAACTCTAGGCTCACAGTTCTGTGGAACGGGCTGGTTTGATCAGCATGATTCACCTCCGCAAGCTTCGAACTGGGGTTTCACGTGAACTGTGTGCCGCAGATTTGGAGGATGCAATCAAAGAAGACATATCAAGCGGACTACTACCGTTCTTTGTAAGTGGGTCTCGCATACTCTTCTGTTTATTCAAATGATATTCAACGATCAACTTTTCATTGTATTGTGTTGTCTGTGTGTTTCCGAATGCAATAAGCGTGTAACTTTTGAAATGCTGTATAAATTGATCAATCAGAATATCAAATCCTTATGGCACTGTGTCAGTTGCGTCTGATCAAGTGGCAGTTGATTTGTTCGTCAAACTTGGCAGCTGCATGTGCGCACACGTTTGAAAGCTAAGCGCTAAGCTGAGTTAACATATCAGATGTCACCTGAAGATCCTTGTGTCAACTAACTTTAAGATGTTGCCGGATGCTAATGAAACTGTATGTACTGGACAGCGGAATATGCAGTATTGTAGGCTTCTCGGTATCTGACACCTGTCCAACGATCGACTTCAGTTCACTTTCTAACAGAGATGAACGCTGTGGAACCGGTGTACAGTCATAGCGTCTTACCCCATTTATTTGCTTTTGCTTCAAAGTGTACGGTCAGTCCAGAAGGCCTCTTCCTTTTGCGTAAAACATCACCCATGCGCGCAGCTCAAACGCTGCACAGTGGCTGGCTCTGCATGGCCCGAACGCCAACACATAACCAGGTGGCGAATCCCTTTAATGCGAGCCGTGTCCACATTCTCTCGAGTGCAGAAATGTGGCAAGCTAGCTGCAATAAACCCTTTGCGGCGAGGGCTGCTAAAGAATTCGGTTGGGTGACGACCAATGTTGTCCAGATAGCATGACGGCTTCACACCTTGCCCAATGCGCCGACAAGAAATGAGTGCAACGATGGACTCGCTTGTGAGTCAAAATGACCTGTCACAGGCTTGACTGTGGCTCACACATCATGGTAGGGAACATGCTACGAAGGTTGCTTTCTTATTCTAACTCTAGGCTCACAGTTCTGTGGAACGGGCTGGTTTGATCAGCATGATTCACCTCCGCAAGCTTCGAACTGGGGTTTCACGTGAACTGTGTGCCGCAGATTTGGAGGATGCAATCAAAGAAGACATATCAAGCGGACTACTACCGTTCTTTGTAAGTGGGTCTCGCATACTCTTCTGTTTATTCAAATGATATTCAACGATCAACTTTTCATTGTATTGTGTTGTCTGTGTGTTTCCGAATGCAATAAGCGTGTAACTTTTGAAATGCTGTATAAATTGATCAATCAGAATATCAAATCCTTATGGCACTGTGTCAGTTGCGTCTGATCAAGTGGCAGTTGATTTGTTCGTCAAACTTGGCAGCTGCATGTGCGCACACGTTTGAAAGCTAAGCGCTAAGCTGAGTTAACATATCAGATGTCACCTGAAGATCCTTGTGTCAACTAACTTTAAGATGTTGCCGGATGCTAATGAAACTGTATGTACTGGACAGCGGAATATGCAGTATTGTAGGCTTCTCGGTATCTGACACCTGTCCAACGATCGACTTCAGTTCACTTTCTAACAGAGATGAACGCTGTGGAACCGGTGTACAGTCATAGCGTCTTACCCCATTTATTTGCTTTTGCTTCAAAGTGTACGGTCAGTCCAGAAGGCCTCTTCCTTTTGCGTAAAACATCACCCATGCGCGCAGCTCAAACGCTGCACAGTGGCTGGCTCTGCATGGCCCGAACGCCAACACATAACCAGGTGGCGAATCCCTTTAATGCGAGCCGTGTCCACATTCTCTCGAGTGCAGAAATGTGGCAAGCTAGCTGCAATAAACCCTTTGCGGCGAGGGCTGCTAAAGAATTCGGTTGGGTGACGACCAATGTTGTCCAGATAGCATGACGGCTTCACACCTTGCCCAATGCGCCGACAAGAAATGAGTGCAACGATGGACTCGCTTGTGAGTCAAAATGACCTGTCACAGGCTTGACTGTGGCTCACACCCCATACGACACTGGAACTAGTAGCTGTTATTACAGAACCTGCTGCCATCGATATTCTGATTAACTGATGAGAGCAAATACTGATTGTGTGGCTTGTAGATACAATGTAGATAGGACTCCGCGGCTATCCGATAAAATTACTGTTGGTTTGCGGCCCATAAAGTGTAGATACTCCAAAATCATGTGGCGGAATGCCAGTGTACTGGCAGCTTGGACCACGGAAAAAGAGCAAGCAGGGCCGATAATTTTTATGAGTATGAAGTTATTTGAGAATTAGACAAAAATTCTGAACAGAGCTCAGTGAGGATCACTCAGAGGTGTAGGGCATGTAGTAATGAAGGATCTCCGAATTTTGTGTTCGGCGGTTCCAACAGTCGCAACTGAATGATTCGAGGACCGATCGACATTCTTCAATTGGTGGTTTAATTAGGAGAGCGCTTCTATCGTGCTTAGAAACGAGGACGCTTTCCGTATTAATGGAAGGCTTCGCGAGACCTGGCATTGGGTTATAAGTAACTCGCATTGCAAAAGGTCTTTCTGAACCCAATAAAACGCCAATGAAGTTTCATGTTGCTGACTTGAGCTAGTGACATTGGCACAATGACTGCCGGGCCGCTTTTCTTTTCAAATGGCATGAATGACGATTTCAGCATCCAGTTTTTGTTTGTTGCAACCTATTCACACCACTGGAGAAACTTAACTCAATAACCAATGTTGTCTGGTTTCAACAGGATGGTTACTGTACGCCCAGAATGTGCTTTATTATCTCAGCGGGACTTTCAAGGACAGGTGGATCGGTAGGGGAGAGCCGGTTGATCAGCCAATTAAGCCGCCGAGCCTGAGCTCCTTTTAGGGCTTTTCGCTACACTGTGTCTACAAGAACAGGCCAACATATCTTCAGTGGTTATGCTCAAATGTCGTGAACGAGTGCAAAAAAGACAGATCATTTTCGACTCTAGAGGGAATAATGGTCAATTGTTATAATCAGATACAACTGTGTAAGCAAAACGCTGACAGGGATTTCGAATGTATGCTTCACTGGCCTGTAAATTATTTGTACGAGCTTCATTATATCAGTGGATGTTTCATTAATCCAAACCAGTTTTCATGTGCGTTGGTTCGAATAATAGCTACGATGGAATGCGGTGTTCTTAACATCATCCGGAAGGTTGTGTGGTGTAGTAATACCTCAGTTGGATGGCTGGAGGTTCTGGGCCTTGATCTGGCAATGAAACCAAGTGCTACGCTGGCCTCCAAATCTGATCCATCAATGCTACAATTAAAGGATATGTTACTGGATGATTAGCTACAAGCTTTGTACTAATCATACAAAGCACTGGGAAAAGTTAACGGGGTGCTTACGTTCAACGATAGGATACCTGTTTCCTTAGCACGTTTTTGCGAAATTGTTCAGAATGTACCACACAATGGAAAAATACTTTCCAGCTAAACTAGCTCAAAGATCTCCAGTAGCTCGATTTGAAACACGAACGCGCTTACACACTAAAGATACAAAGTCTCTCATGAATGGAAAGCCTACATTTAGAGCATTACAACTTTGAGATTAATACGGTGCCCTTAATCAGCTAAAAAGTTTCTTAAATTAATCTAATCAAGAAACCATCAATTAATAGTCTTCAGACAGTAGTTGCATCAACCTGTGGAGTATCTTCATGAACATGATTGGAATTGTGGAATAGGGGTGCTGCGTTAGTTTCCAGTTGCCAATGGCTAATTCACAAATCGCTAGTACTGAAAGAGATCACTGCTGCATCTGTGCCGCCTAGTTCTTCATCACAACCAGAGTGGTTCGTCTTGGCAGCTCCTGTCACTGAGGGTGTTTCGGGGGGAAGTCTGTAAATAATTTGACGGATAAAACTAATACATATTTTTAATGCAGTGCTGTTAGGTCGTCTTGCTTAGGCCAGCTGATCGATATCAATTATCCTTCACAATTTTACGCAGTGACTTTATTCCCCCGGAATTTCATCAGCTTCACATGCTCATGGACGGTAACACATGCGGTTCGCCAAGGTATCCATATTGGGTACGAGTCAACAGTTGGAATTTCATGGAGGACTCTTAAATCGCAAGCTCCCAGTGTGACATTCAGGGCGCTCAGTCCGTCAGGCATTTCACCCCATAGAGTGAATCAAGCCATTCCCAACTCCAAATTTCTGTTCAGGTTAACTATGTCCAGAATAGGCAAGTTGAATGTGTCCATCAAAAACTACACAATTGTGGAACGTTCAAAAAAAATTCGGAGCTTTTCGGATGATGTTTTTTTAAGTGTGCAAAACATAAAAATCTTCTGTTCTGAATTCGGTTATTGTGCGTTGTCTCTTCTGTTCCCATATTGTGTACATAGCAAAGCCAAACACCTTGATCTTTCAGCCAACTATTTTGCCATCAATGAACGTCGATTTCTTCCATCAGATGTGTCATTTAGTCAGCTAGAAGTCCTGTTTATTCTCTTGGAGAATCTCGTTGAACAAGCCAAAACTCGAATTAAAATTTTGTTTTCCCACGGTAGACTTATTTGTTGAATCTCTACATATTTTTCGTAATACACAGTTTGTAGTCATGCTTTGATCTAGGCGAAATCCGACTGGGAGTTAGCAGCAACGAAATTGATGAAGCCACGTACACTGCAATGTACCTGGTGGTTATTTCAACTTTTATGTCGACAAAAACGGTTTTCTCATCTGTCGACGGTAACGAGGATGGGAGTATTACTTCTCGGAAGATTCAAATGCACCAATTTAGTGTGCATAAATAGAACACTGCTCATCAACGATCAATCAATAGGGTGGGCACGTCAGCCATGAATACGACGAATCGTGGTCTCCAATTGCTCTTATCGCTCGGATCATACAGCATGGCTATATGCATTATATCTATGCATATTCGATTCTTACTCTAAAATCATTAAGTATAATTTCTTCGGGTACTCTCTTGGAAATTGGACGTGCTAAGTGGAATTGGGCAGCAAAGCAAAATTTTCCACTCTACACTCAAGAGAAAGAGCCAAAAACTAGGGTGTGACATTCTAGTCACAATTTGGTCCCTGGAAAATACTGGAGGATTCCAAATTCATCTGGGATGGACGGAAGGGAAACTGGTATAGCCTATAGTCACTCAGGATGACAGTCCCGTTACACTTAAGCAGCTCGCTCGTGAGTCCTCTGTTGCGTGGGTGATGTCCGGCTAATAGGAATCATGTCGTTAACACTCAGAGAAAAGCTCGCTCAATTGACACATGGTCTAACCATAGCATTGACGCACCTTATTTCATTGCGGAACCAAACTCCGCGTATTTCCCCCCACAACTTGTAAGGCCACACAAGTGAATGGAATTCAACAACAGTGTCTCTTGAAACGATTGTTCTAGATGCATTTTTCCAGGCCTCGCGTTTAAAGGGGACATCGACTTATGTGATACATGGTATCTTGGTGCTTTTCAGAATACTGATTGCATGAATCCATGGAATCAGAACAACTGGCCATCTTTTTCATAGGATCAGTTGGATGATTCAGGAGCTTCCATGATGTAGTCTTGTAATCTTGTAGTGCTTTAGGTGTTTTAACAAAAATAGTCCACGACATTTCCTGTCGGCCATGCAAAAGCCTTTCTCTCTAATCCACCAATCTCCTGAAAACTTCCTCAAGAGCCATTTACATTTCGGGCTTGAAAACAAAAGGTATTACCTGGGTTTATCTTTACCAGCCATGGAGCTGGCTGGCACTGTACCAAGTTCTTCTGTAAAAGAATCACAAGGGGTAGCATTCAAACACTAGTGGAAGTATTTGTCGGTCACGGGAAAAATGTCCCCCAGTTCCGATACAGGAATGTCTGCTAAAACAGCGTTTTCTTGGAAGCAGAAAGACGCGTAACGAGATTGTTTCAGTGCGATACAAATCCCTATTATGAAAACTTCACTATTCCAATGTAAACTGATAGGGGATAATGGGAGGGAAGTTGCATTATATGGTCAGAAAAACCAGTGTTAAATATCTGTCAAGTTTGTAACTTTTTCCATTGCCATAGTTGTAATGGATGCAGATTAAAAAGCATGCGACTGAATTTTTCCACAGTATATTACAATGCCTATCTGTGGGTGCTAAAAATCTGGGAAATTTCCTGTGGTCTCTCTCCGAAGTTTTGAACCCCCTCGTCAGAAACCTTACGTGGAAAACTTCGCCTGTGGGAATGTTCAATGTATCGTCTACCCGGTCAGTGTTACACTAGTTCACCGTAGAGTCCGGAACGTGTCTTTCTGTTACTAGTCTCATCTAGTTGGCAGCTGCATTCAACTAATGCACAGCCTCATTGCGCTATCCGAACATCCACTACTGTGCAGCGTCACTGTTGACGAGGAGAAGCACTCGCTGGTTATGCGCTGCTCGGGCAAGAGCTTCTACTGTTACTGACTCTGGCTATTTGTTATAATAATGGGAAAATTTTCTGACATCACAATTCCTGTGGGTATTTAGTGACTTCACAAAGTTTATTCCGCGTTAAAATGATGGCTAACAACTGTGGGATTATTCTTTGTGGTGCGCTAACTTCCTCACCTGCGTGTCGTTCCATATCGATATTCGATATTCGACTGAATCCTCGAACTTGGTCCTCCTATTGCCTATCCGATCCGATCATAAGATTTTGGTGTTGCTTGTCTATGTTTCACCAGCCAACCCTTTTAAATAAGCATGATGTTGCGACCAGCTACCTCAGACACGCTGGAGTCTTGACCACATTAAACTCTTTCTCAAGGCTACATATGCGCGTGTTTGCTCAGTTAGTTTCCAAAGTTCGTCTTATTTGCCTCCAAAGATAGACGACAACAAAACACACCAAAATCAAGACGGATTTGACCCACCTGACTGACTTTTGTGCGCATTCGATTCACATTCATGGACAGCATTCAATGCTTAGACAATCTAATTAATTTGTTGCGAAATAAAGACCGAAAGTACACATTGCGGTCGTCACAAGGGATAATTTCGGAGCTGGTCGTTTGAAAGTTCGATTTTTATTCACTATTTTGCATTGAGTTATCTGAAAAGGGAGAATCCAATATGCAAGATGCATGGTGCGTATGGTGAGACCTAACAAAAGCATTTAGGCGCAGATGGCTTGGAGGAGTAGTGATCACCCATTTCGTTTAGTCAGAATCAAGCAGAGCAGTAAGGTTTTCTCAACTTGTTTTTCTAAGAAGAAAATTCTTTCCGACAATGTCCGGTGTGCATGAAAATCTGTTATATATTCAGAAGGAAAAAACATAATCTGGGAATGGTGAGACCTAACAAAAGCATTTAGGCGCAGATGGCTTGGAGGAGTAGTGATCACCCATTTCGTTTAGTCAGAATCAAGCAGAGCAGTAAGGTTTTCTCAACTTGTTTTTCTAAGAAGAAAATTCTTTCCGACAATGTCCGGTGTGCATGAAAATCTGTTATATCTTAAGCAGGAAAAAACATAATCTGGGTGATTCTAAGAGTCTTTAAAATAAAGATTAAACATGTCGATTTATGTCTCGTCCTTTAGTATTAGTGTTTTTCTATTATAGAATTTTGTGCCGCACTGAACGTCATGTCTTATGATCAAATAGAATCTGGTGTCCGAGATTTCACAGTTGGGGTTGCAATTCTTCGTGGTGATCTGTTTTCCGGCTTCCTGAAAATACGCACCCAACTGAAAGCATTTAGGCTGGAATTGTGAGAGATTTCCTCCTTATTTCAAGAATGAATATTCTTCTATCCAACTACCCAAAGGCAGCATCCACAGGACTGGGGCGGCTTAGCATTTCTACGTGGTATGTTCACTGTCCAAAAGAAGGCTTCTTAAGGTGGGTACTTACCCTATCAGGTTAACCAAAGTTGCACTTAAAAATAGCCCCAGCGGACTAAGTTCTAGTATGATTGTGAATATCGATATACATCATTACACCAGTCGATTGGGAAAATCAACTTTGGGTGTTTTATCATTTTTTATTGTTTCTCATAATGCTTTTTCCATTTCCAAAATTGCCCTGTGCATCATTCAACATGAAGTTGTCGCTGTTCAGTCTGGTTATGATACTTACTTCAAACTTCGGCTACCTACATTTGAAAGACAATTTAAATAGCTACATTTTCTATGGGTGCTCTTCGATTTCTTTACTTTTCAGTGCGTAGCAACTCTTGGAACAACGGGTTGCTGTGCATTTGATAACTTGAAAGAAATTGGCCCGGTTTGTGAGCAGTATGACATATGGCTCCATGTGGATGCGGCGTACGCAGGATCAGCGTTTATCTGTCCCGAATTTCGTCCACTGTTGGACGGTATCGAGGTGAGGCTGTTAATAAAAAACTGGCTTTCATTTGTGGTGTAAGCATACAAGAAAAACGAGACGCAGTCTGTCCCAAATCGCAGTATGGCTTAGCCTGTGGGGTCAGCAATATTATGTAATAGTTCAAACAGGTTCCCTTTGAGATCTAATTTTCCATTGGTCCACGAGACCTAGATAAGATAGTCCTTCTGGAGGACGTTTCTATTGAAGGGGCTACACTGGGTCCCTGGTAGTTTGCGATCGCCTTAAAGTAGCCTGCTATATTAATTACTCTTTCCATTGAGGCAGTTTATTACCCTCTTCGAATATTAATTATAATAATTGTACTGCCTTCCATCTAAGATATAGCTACCCCACGTTTGTGGCTGTATCCGCTCGTTTTGATGAAAATCACAGTTTGTAGCGTTGATCCTAGACTAAGTGCAATGCTCATCAGTGCATATTCACCCAGCAAATGAACTGGCACTGCCTCAAATTGTTCCCGACTTTAAAACGAAAAAATATTAGACGACAATCAATTATGAACTGCGAAGCATGTCTTATGACATACTATAATATACACAATCGCACAGACCCCCATGTTTCCGATATGTAAAACTAACTTGAACCAATTATTAGGTCGCATTGATGTATCCTCGACTCAACTGACATGGTTTAACTAATCGTGAGGTCTTTTTAAATCGCTTCTAGGCAGACCATGGTTTCCACATAATTTGTTTTGTTGTTATCTAATTCTGATCGAGAAATTACCAATGATAAAAGGATCAGTGTTTTCCGTTTCCTGTTGGGGGATTGATGTAGAAAGTTTCTGGAAGTACGATGAACTGGACACTCTACAGGGCACTTTGAAGTCGAACAGAACGTACCAGAGTGCCTTGTTTATTCAGGATCAATTAGTATCTCGTAGGTCAAAGACCAACTCTGTGAACAGTGTGAACACAATGGAACCCTCATCAAAGATCGCTAAGCTTCTAACAGAAGGTCAAAAGTCGTCAAGCGTTCCAGTTCAAACACACTCTGAACAATCCATTGATTCACAAGTGAAACGTTTCACAGTAAGCCCACGAACGCGTATAAGATCCATGTTTTTGAAGATTCCGATAAACCTCCAGATTAACACTGACGCTTATATGAACCCTGACAGAAATCATTGAAGTAGCTAATCCATGCACTGGATGAATAATCTGGCGTTATCAAAATTACCTGGCAAATTTAACCTTTCTCGAACTGTTGTCCTAAAAACAGTGTTAGAAACCTGCAATACTGTAAATTAGCGACCGCTCTGGGACCTCCGCAATAAATAGGGTTTTTAAGGTTGTATATCTCCTTTCAAGGGTTTCAGCTCATACCACAAACACAAGGCCAAAGTACTAATGGCCTGTTCTGGTGCACAGAATGTCCTGAGTATGTTTAGTTTTATAAGATACTCCCATACTTCCTTGTAGTAGCTACAAGCCTGAGGGCATTAGTCGCCCCAGCGGTTTCGCCAGTGACATCCGTTGTACTAGAACGGATCAGCAACTCGTCCAATATGGTTCCAACTATAAACTGGCGCGCTCCTGAAGATGACCAGCGAGAGATGATTTGATGCACAGAAAGGTATTTAGCTGCCTAATTTCAAGACCAGTTTCTGCAATGTAGGATCACACGACACCAGTTTCCTCTATACCAGTGGTGTTCATTGGGGATAGCGTTGTTCCTATGAGGATATCTTCCAGTGCAAAAGCAGAACCTTAGCCCAATTGGGTGTTTTGGAGGCACATATCCATGCGCCCTCGCGAATAATGAAGCGTATGATGAGGATGACTTAGTGCACTTTGGTGACCAGCTTACTCTTTACTGTCACTAGATGTTACGTCCATTTTGACGTAACTGTCAGGTCTACACATCGTCCTAAATCTACTCTATACTGTACATACCTAAACGAAGACCATACCAGCTTACTAACCAAACGTGATGATGATTGTGAAACTACTGTTTCAGTTGTGTCACTCATTTCCGGGCTATAATCACTGAATTGCCAGCGGATATGTTCAAATACTGACTAGAAGTTTACGGGTTCGAAACTCCTTGAGTTCCGTGAGATGCACACTGCAGACGATTTCCAACAAGGATGAACAGCTGTGAAGTGCTTGGTTTTTTTTAACATAGACTGGCCACGCTGGCAGGATGGAATCTCAGCTGAAAATTCCCCGATCTCACCACATCATCATCAGTTTGGTATTTCTACCAGAACATCCATTATTTAATTTTCTCTCCCAGGGTGAAAAAGGTGAAAAATTACCATGTAACAAGGCATTCCGTGTGAAAGCACTAATAAACGACAAACAACAATCTTAGTTCGTTTGCAGTCAATGACTGATTAGACATATTTTCACATTTTCAGCATGCGATGTCTTTCGTATTTAATCCGCACAAGTGGTTGCTGACAAACTTCGACTGTACATGCATATGGTAAGTTTGTACTAACTCCGATTGTCATGTATGTCGTAATACAGCTAGATTAAGGTTCTTGCAAGTAACCCCAGTCTGTTCAGCACGAATGTGGTCGGGCGATTTGAGGTCCGTGCGTTTCATGTTGGATGGTTTTATACTCGGGGAAGAATTTGACATAAGCTTTATTCCTCAAATCTCCGGTTTAATCGGGCAATTTTTATCACGGGCGAAATACTCAGAATCACATAAAAAAGAGAAATCTTGCCGGCTGGCTTTTGCGCTAAAGCAGTATACACTCTGTGTTATTCTGACTAACTAGGTTCACGCGTGATGTGCCAGTTGTGCTGCAGTTGACTGATTAACCGAATTCCGGTCAGAACCCTTGTATGCCCTCCGAAATACCGTGACGTTTCGCAGTTCACCAGGGATTCTTCGTGGTTCTCAACTGATTAATATCGTATGGTAAGCCCCATCAAGAGTGTACACTTTGGGGTGGTTAGTTGAGGCCGACCCTAATAAGAGCCGCCGTGAAGAGGTTTTTAGCCGGACTGTCATGAAATTCACTGCTCGCGTTTTTAAAACTTATAGCCTTTCTGCTGAGCAAGCTATCTGGAATTAATTGCCTTCTCAATGGTCCACATATTAGGATCTCAAACCAACTGATGCGGTAAGCCGCATTAAGGAACTGACTGTATTCGGGAGGAACAAATGGCCCAATATCTGCTACTGTCTTCTACATACACAGCCATAATGGAGAAGAGCTGGTTGCCTTGTAAGAATTTAGATGGACATGAAGTCTAAATTTGTTAAACTAACAGGAACTGGATGTGAGCGAAAGGGAAAAGATGTAAAATTTCTTCCTTTGTGGTGACATTTTCTTGTGTGAGGATGAGTTGAATTCAATGATAGTCCGGACAGCTGCAGTCCACGGCAGCGTCGACAATTCAGTGGCACGATATCCTAAGAATGTTGCCCCAGAGTTTATAGTACGGGTTTAATTTTATCCAACAAAGTTTCACTTTTAACCCAGCACAAAAGAGACTATTGGTTAAATAGCATTGAATGTGGATAGTCGATTTCAGCTCATCATTTCATATCACCATGAGTTGAAACGGATTAAAGAAGCCAAAAGTTTTCCAACTGTCGTTACTTACTCATCACGAACCATTATTGTGCGTGCAATTGGTTTTCTCGGACCCTGACTATCGACGAGCAGTTTAATAATGTTGGTTTGTTTCCCGCCTCCATCAAGTTCCATACATTTTGCGACTGAAAACAATACGCTAAAAAGTTTTTACGCAAGGGATACGAGTAAATTGGAACCTTTACCACACTTCAAAGTGCTGTTCTTACGGGAACCACCTTACCTATTTTCTCTCTTCTGCAGGTATAAAAACGTGGACTGGATCATTAAATCCTTCTGTGTGGACCCTAGTTACCTCAAGCATACACACCAAGGCTGCGCACCTGATTTTAGAGTAGGTATGTTAGGTTCCTAACCACAGTTTCGTTTCAAGCACTTACACATTCCTTTGGGAAGGAAATTCCGCTCGCTCAAATTGTGGTTTGTAATGCGCCGATATGGTGTTTATGGTCTTCAAAAACACATTCGAAATGCAAGTCCTCATATTTTTTAAACTGTCTGCATCATCTAGCATGTCCATTTGGCTCGACATTTTGAGCAGCTTTTGCTGTCCGATCAGCGATTCGAGATCGTCTACAAAGTAACTTTGGGCCTGGTCTGCTTCAGAGTCAAGGTGAGTTTGGACTCGTTTTCACAAAGGCTTAAACTCGAAAAGGGTCCGTTCAATATGGTGTAGTACGTCAAGGGCAAAAACCATGTATTTATCGCCACTCTTCTATACACCGAAGAGATGTTAGCCTTGAACGTCTGAAATTTCACTGCTCATCATCATCAAAGACAGACGGCCTTAAATTGAAGAAAAAGACAAAGAGTGGGTTAAAAAGGAACTTGCTGCTGAGCTATCGCAAATCCTTTGAAGTGCTTACAACTGTGTGCGCTCAACCAGACAGTCTGTAAAGGAAATGACAGCGCAAGAGCCTTACACTCTCTTCAACTAAATGCAAGTGGGCTATGATGATCTTACTCTGGAAGGTGTACAGCACCAACAACACCTTAACTCTTCGTAAACTCTTCCAGTCAACCGTTGTCCATATCTAAAGGAGGCACAGAGAACAGCAGTCGTCTCGGTAGGACCTGTTTCGGCAGGCGTCACACATGGCTGAACCACCGCAGTTGATGGTGCTGCAGGCATTCCGTGAATGAAGCACCTGCTATAGAACCAAATAATGGTTTTCCCAGTTGCACAGTTCGAAGTCGCTGACCGCATCCGAGTGCCAGCAATTCTTATAAGACATTGTTTGTAAAAAAAACTTGAGATGCCGCACATCTGTCTCGCCATCGCACAACGATGCAACCCATGATGCAGCCTGGTACGCGCCATTCAGTGGTAAACGCCACAAGTGACGCGGCCTAGTAAAAACAATTCGACCCTTAAGGATTTGCACTCTGATTTCATCAGACATACTTTTGCCGGAACAAACACAACTACAGAGGTGTATAAAATTCCCCCGCAACCTCAAGTGCTCCTCCTTGAATTACAAGGGACATGCTCACAGACGACAAGTTCTGAAGTATGCTTCTGCACTTTGAACACAAAACGCGCATTCAAATTTCACATGGAGCATTTGAGATAAGTAAGAGAAAAAGGTATCTAAATCAGTGAGAGAAGTAAATGTTTGGAAAGTGATTACCAGTACGTAGTTCTCCAAGGGTAACATTACTTTACTAGGCGGAATGACTAACTTAGATGTGATACATTCTATCCCATCCCATGCGTGTTTCCTGTAGAACTAAACTATTCAACACCAGTGATCCAAGGCAAGTGATCGAGAGGGACTGGTACCCTTTTATTCATAACACACTCTGGGATACTGCAATTAAGTATACTGACTACGCGCACGGCAAATATATAATCAAACAGTTTTTGTTAAATATGCACGCCCAAACAAATCCTTTGGCTACTAATTTGTAGGGTTTGCTAACCCACAGGATCATGGACCGAACTGTGGTGGAGTTCAAAGGCTTCCAGCAATTTCCTTGCTCCTCGTGATTCAGTTTTTACTCGAAGTGTCATATGATGTGTGAAATCAGACCTGAACTTTTCGGGGCTATACAATTTAGACCGGATCAGCAATTCCGCAGACGACTGATAGCTCGTTTGTCCCCATAAGTGGTTGGACTGTCGCTGAGCTTTGAGATTGGTTTTCGAACATTTTGTCACCACTCTAGCAGGCATCATTAATAGTTTGACCTGGAGCAACTCAGCACGTTAGGTCAAGTATGGCCTCGTGTTCAAATATTAAGCGTCCCGCGGTAGGATCCAGTAAGTGGAGCAGTATTGGAAGAGAATCTGTCCAACTGAAGGAGGCCGCGACAAAATCCTTCTTAGTATTTTTGGGCATTAAAAGGCCTTTTCTTAGTCAGAAGTTTCCCAACATAATGTTATTAGTCTGCATAGCAAACCTAGTTTGCTTAACTTATTGGAGAATTCAATCTTAAGAATACAACAAGATGGCAAAATGTGCAGTGTTAACGTTTTGATTTTGCCTTATTGTTCACATGGTAGAAAACGCATGGCTCGGAATCAAGCTAGTAACTAGGCTAATTTGTCAACCACTAAAGTAAGCTAGCAGCATAGGTCGGTGGGTTAGATGCACATGCGTTTGCCTGCAATTTACCATTCAGGTTGGACTCATTCATACTTGGTCGCTATCCTTCCAAAAGACTTCCAAACCTAGCAGAATTCTAATAGACCTTATAACAGCAAGCAACGCGCGCAACCACCGACATAATATACAATCTCAGGACGGTTGCATCGAGTCGAGTGACCATATTCCTAACTGACCGATATCCGTGTATTTATATTGCAAGGTCAGCCTTTTGCCACAGGGTGACTTCAGTTTTCTGTCTCGATTTACTTGGCTTTCATAGTTGCTTGGAATGTATTCTTTATCCTCATCCCAATACGGTGCCAAAGTGATCAAATGAAGCATCCAAACTGAATGTGAATTATACACGAACAGCCAGTTCAAATGATATATCACGTGAACAATGTGGCTAGCGATAGTGACGTAATCATCTTTAAAACACGGATTATTAGGTTAATGGAGATTGGTGTAAAATAGAATCAGAGTTCGCAAGTAAGGCATCAGTTTTGTGATGGTTGTGCCCTCCATTTCTCCAAACGCTTCTTCAGATGTCTCAGGGGTTGTTCGTTGTATCTTGTTCAGCATGTTCATCCCTTTACTGCCTCATGAATGTTATTTAATTAACGAAAAATTGGGTAATGTAGGTTAGAAAAGGAAAACTTACAGAAAAGGAGTTTTGCAAGCCTCTCAGAAAGCTACGCTCAGATGTATTAATTCACAAGGTCTCATTTTTGAGTGACTGTGGCCCAAAGACAAAAACGTTAGTTGCTGTTCCGTGCTTGGGAATTGCCCAATACTTTTTTGTCTAGTGTAACAGAGAAAATTTCAGTTTGGGTGAATATACACAGAGATTTTAGATGTCAAAAAGATTTTTTTCTCACCAGAGGTAAAAACCTGTAATACTGATACTGACTCTCACAGAATAACAATGAACTTACGCAGAAGCTGTACGAGGAAATTAAAGCAGATGGACGAATCCACCTGGTTTCATCGGAATTTCATCATCCCGAAGAAATCTATTTTATTCGTTTCGTAATTTGCTATCCTGGAGCTGAAGAAGTCCACAACAACTATGCATTTGAAGTGATTGAGAAACTGACAGATCGCCTGTTGCCAAGACAAGAGGGCACCAATCAAGGTCACCCCAAAATAGAACAAGCGCAAGAAACCATGATACCAAGCTAAGTGATCACGAAAGTACCAATTTGTCGAAATCAACAATCACCGAGATGAGGGATTTTCGTCTTCTGTGTGTTAGCGCTTTTTGTGACCATATGAGTCCTCTTGCTATCGGAATGTGCGACAAATTTACAGCTAAATATTTACTGTGCTATCATTTGCTATCGTGACACATGGCATGCTTACCTGACCTTGCTTTTATTTGGCTCTCCATATGGTGGCTGCCTCCAAGAAACAGCCGTTTCATGTGCTAGATGTGCTATCGTTTTTCTGTTCTGATATAATGGGGCTAGCAACAATTCCCGCTTAATTTGTTATGATTAAATTATGCATGGTAACGAAGCATACCTCTGACATTTGAGTACGGATATTAATTAGGTGACTAAGTTGCGTCAAGTCGTTGGTTTCGCTCTTGACCGAGTATACAGAGTCTTTACACAGTCTTGGTTAAATACTACTATTAAGAAAAGTAAATAGTAAGATGCTTTGCTTAGTATACGAGTCGGAGTAGTGCATGAAAAGCAGTTGGACTAGTGATTGCGTGTCTGCTGCAATGGCGAACAATTTGTGGTAAGATCGATGTACAAAACTGCTTTATAGAACTTGGATTGCGTTCTAATCCCAAAGGATTGGGGGGAGGCAAAAGCAGACTTGATCGAGGTTATCCACGGTTGATAATGGCATGCACTGCATATACTATATGAGTGACGCATATATAAAACTGCTGCTTTGTTCATATGGTCGGGCCCGGGTTGTTGTGGTGGACCCGCGACCACACTGACTAGGACATGTGTTTCTTTGGCAACCGGAAGGACAAACAGTAGCTAGCCTTTCTGTTATAGGAAATCATAGCAGGAGGCGGTTTGAAGCTAAAGTCCTACTTTTCGCTGAGAGGAAAATTTGAGAACAATAAGATATTTCCTGCAAGCAACCAGAATTTCCACGACAGAGATGATGCCTTCCTGATTAGAGGTTGGAAACAAAACCACACAAACAGATCCTCGAAAAGCTGAACTTAATGACCATCGAAATATCCCTTAAAACCGAGAGCTCGGTGTGACTTAGAAGTTACCTGCTCTTCAGAGCGACGTTAGAAGTGAGAAATACATGTCTCCGGTATTTACAGCATTTAACAGCTTAATTGGTCGAATCTTTAGTTAACTGGCTTCCAAAAAGTCCCGCCAGCACGATTTTATCACTTGTTGTCTTGCTGGTCAGAGCAGGATGTTGGAAGCTCAAAGTGGATTGCTCAAAACGAATGCAGATTAGCAGTCCAACAAATCAACGTAAAGGCGTCTGGTTTGTGGATAAAAAATACTCGACAAATTAGGCCTGATAAATCACCGCTTGAAAGTTGTAATTTGTTGCGTGAACAACCACTACTTATCGGATTCGTTAACTTCAATGTGGCCTTTGATTCAGTAAACTGAGGAATATTGTGAATAAATAGAAAACAACCTGTTTGTTCTTGTCATCACCGTGGGCATTACCATTTGCAACTTGAGTAGTACAGAGTATCTGACAGCTGCCAAGTAACGCTGAATCCACAACTTAAGTGAAGTACGGCCACAGTAGATGAGCTGTAAGGAATCCCAGGAAGTTTTAACGGAACCATCGTATTCTCGGACGCAGAGTTGACTACTGTTTACAAATTTCTTTTATTGTGTGCTGAGTCCAAAGTATTGATATACATGAACATTCTGTGAGGTCTTACCCAGTTCAATTCTTGCAATACGGTCTATATATGTGCCACACCAGATTTCAAGTAACACTGATGAAAGACATTAGAAATTGGAAGGCGGTTGCGCAGATTAAAGTGATGTTGGATTTTGTACATTTTTGAACACCTAAATAAGTGTAAGAGATTTCGGAGGAAAAAGATGCTTTCGAAAAGAAAAACCATGTTTTGTTACGAGTTAGTCCAGCATACACAAAAGAGTAGGTGTTTCATACCCATTGTGAGACAAAAGCAGTGCCTGTTTCAAGGAACGTGTGGGGAGGGGGTCGCTAAACGATACGGGCAGTGGCTTTCGGTAACAATCTATGTTTTGTAGGTTTGGCTTGAATCACCCTCCGATTTAGGTGATCATGCCCGCATCGCTTAGAGACCCCCTCACAACACGTCCCGTGAAACAGGCACTGCATTTGTCTCACAATGGGTATGAAACACCCACATCGCTAAACGATGCGGGCATGATCACCTAAATCGGAGGGTGATTCAAGCCAAGCCTACAAAACATAGATTGTTACCGAAAGCCACTGCTAAGGATATTCTCCTGGCAAAGCTGTTCCTGATAGCAAATGGATGTGAACGAAAAAGAAAGGACCAACGCCCAAAGATTCGAGATGATTTAAGGTCCACTTCCGTCCATTCCCAGTATTTATTTCTCCCATTATCTAGCTCAATGTCATCCACGCCTAACTGCGATTAACAAAACACCCCCAAAATCATTTGCGCCCGGTGAATCAGTGTGTGAACGTTTCGAGATTTGCGAGAAAAATTTCAGCTTAGATTTGGTAGAATCCAAAGCCGATCAGCATCCACGAATTGATAGAAAATATCGAATCATGCATGATCCATTGATCGTTTCAGGTATCAGCACAAATCAGGTTATCATGTAGGTAGGAGTTTTTGTGACAATACCGATTGGTTGATTTAGACCCATCCTGGCTTAAGACTACTTCAAGTCCATCTGACTTCTACTGATTACTCATCTTGGGTTATATTTGCATACATGAGAAATACATTGTAATCTTTCTCATACGTCCTGCAAAATAGTGTGTGGAATCATTTGATCACACAGCGTCCCTGTTCTCATTGCAGTCAATACTTACCTCCAAACGTCCTCCAAACGGTGAGAAACTACTGCAATTACTGACACGTTTTCCCGGTGGTGGTATCAGAGACTCTTTGGAACAGGCGTTCTTAACCTTCATACTGAACCAAGCGCAAAGACAGTAACCGTAAACAGAGCAAGAAAGGCTTCCTGTCTGCAGGTCACGGTCATTGTCATTGAATTTTGTATTCGACCAAATCAGTTTCGATAGCTCTGTTCCAAAGCTGACTGCGGAGCTTGGTTCATTTGACTGTAATATAAAGTACAGGTCTGGAACGAAGGTAGGTCAACCTCACCATTCGTTGAGGTGCCCTCCAGAAGAATCAGGGTAATCTCATCATTTTGCATCTCCAATTCCAGACTCGGCTCAATTCACTAAACTCTAGATTATTACGCTGCATCGTTTCAGCTCTCCGCAAACGCTGAAGCACAGGCACAGGTACACTGCATTAGTCCAACTTGAATGTGAACTCTACGACCAATTGGATGGTGTGCCACAATAAACACAGCTGAGAAAATCGGTCCACGATAGCTTCCATCTCAAACATATTTGGACAGATAAATAAAATCCACAATTCGTCTTGGTGCTGCGAAAATCTCCTGTAGTTCAACGTACCAAATTTCTCGCTGTCGACAAACGATAGGGTCAATAATATCCTCTGCTTTCGGGGCGAACAGCAAACAGTTATACACATTCAATGTCTTGGAACAATAAAAGTGCCCATATTTTTGTACAGCACAAGCACATTGCTTTACTATCACAGCTGAACTTGTGAATGGAGTGCACTCTAAGTCTTGGTGAACTCCGACTGCAAGGATTTTATGGTCGAATTGTCACGAAATGTATGAGTTGATGCTCATCCACCTGGTAGGCTATAATTCTTGTGATGGTGATGAAAATACCTCTGAGTGGCACACAAATTAGCTGTTATGTAGTGAATAATTTCAAGGTGACATATCGAATTCTAATGATGTATTCCTCTAATTTACTGCGCTCCCGTCAAAAAAACACGTTACAGAAAAGGATGAATCCGTACACCGTTTTGCACCATTGAATGTATCCTTGTGAAAGAAAAGCCGATTAGTCTTATTGCTGGAGTCAGTCGGAGTTCAAAACATTTATGTTTGGATCGAAATGTTTTGCCCATATACAGGGCTATGAGGATCGCCCAGATGATTCTAAAATCTACTAACAAACATGATGACAAATGTAATGTCAAAAACAGGGATATTTCGTGATTATTGGACGATTGCCTAACACGTATATCTTTGCAATGTACTACTCATAAGGTTGCTGAAAATCCGTCCACAGCCCACGACCAAGAACCAAATTGGTTTGCAAATGATTGTACATTCGCTGATTGCCTGACACATCCATCCTTTTATACTTTCATACTGGTCTCAAATCGTCACAGAAGAAGACTTCTACAACTTTTGTTACTCGAAACCGATCATATGGGAAAATCAACACCAAGATTTTGGAACATAAGTGTGAATGTTGGATGCATTGCTGTAGGTGTAAAAGATTGGGCGACTATATTGCATCTTACGGTACCACAATTCCAGGCTAAACGCGGTCTCATGGCAGCTTATTTAGATAAGCGCTTGTACGATGTCTTGTTTTTTATGAGTAACATCATTTTGTTCGTTTCTTCAGGAACAAAAATTCCTGGTGTACCCATCTTTTCTCCACTACCTCGGAACATATCGAGACTGTTTGTGAACTAACTACCAAGAATACTGGTAACAGATTGTAGACTTGGAGTAACCACATAGTGGTACAGGGATTATGGGAGGGTTAATTTTTTTTGCAGAGTTAGGGGCCTGTTCTTCCTTTAGAACATCTTCATCTGTGACAAACACTGACTAGAATTCTGAAGTGTCCAGTGACCTAAACGACTTTGAAGAAAGATTACATATCCAATTCCTCAGTTGCACAATTCCAGCTAACGGCAAAATATGCTGGAGAGCACAAGCCGGTTGGTAATGCTGATAACTTCTCAATAACGTTTGATTTGAAGGTCCCTACTGTCACCAAAATTCAGAAATAATTTCATCTTAGGTTGCAGATATGAAAAGCAGCTGATATAATTAACTAAAGTAATAAAAAGTGGGCATCACTTTACGAGAGGTACACGCATTTTCAAATCAATTTGGTTTTCACGAGGTACTCAACTGAATCTCTCGTTTATGATATTCTTCAACTGAATATGCTGCACACATGCCGCATCATACTTCATAAGGTTGATGGAAACTCGGGGACTGCGCGCAAANTCCAAGAAGGCCGTTCGTGGGCTGTCGAAGGGTTTTCAGCAACTTTGTAAGTAGTCCTCTTTATGAGTAGGGCAATACTTTACTCATTTTATCTTATTCCATAAATAGTACTGTTCTGTACGACCACAACCAACGACTACGAGACATCCGTAGATCGTAGAATATAAACTTGTTTTCTAATCCCATATTATAACAATCCTCACTTGGAAGCCAATTTTATTTTGACAAGAAACTTAGCTAAATTCCTGTTAGAGTTGTGTTTGTGGTACTGTTCAGATTGGTGTGACAATCCGAAGAAGGATGATATTTATGATGTCGCACCACACTGTCTACACCAAACACACTACCCAGAAGGTTAGTGAAAACTCCAACAATCCGAGGAAGATTTCCTCTTTCTGAGGATAAGCAGGGTGCTTGATCTGGGCACCCTGCCGTGGCGCTGAGTATGTCATCCAAACGTGAGGTAGATTTTGTGCACAGCGTTCAGTTTAAGCCATATTACTTTTCCGAGGAAAGTAATTCTCAAACTGCGTGCCATTCGGGCTCAGTTGTTGCCCGTTTAATTAATACAACTAATCCATTTCAATGACGTATACATTTCTCAGCAATCAACGACGTATTTAAATTCGATAGGTTCCCAAACCATCTATTTTCAGGCATTTTCCGCACACCTCTACAGTTATTATCCTCGTTTAGACGCCTGCTTGTGAATAGTAATCGCGATAGGTGGACTGTTATAACGTGGGGATGCTACAGTGTACGATCATTCTTCTAATTAGACCGAACTTGCTTCGTACGAAATAAGGAACACCGTGCCATATTATTCATCTCCTCAAGAAATATTGCTTTATATTTCTGAGCTTGATTGCAAAGATCGATAACAACTCAGACAAAAGTTGTTTACAAATAGCCGGACAATTGACTGAACAGGTCAGTATTTGGTTCAACCAAGAATCACATATTAATTTCTCTCTTGTTTACCAAGGAGTTTGCTGCACTTTATGCTTGTGTGATGATAATTATACCAAGGTGTGTGGTTTTCCTTTTTCGGTGCAGAAGAATAGTACGGAGTGCAATGGGGGTGCAATGGGTGCTTTCAACACTGGTAAAGAACACAGCCAAAAACTCTCAGTGTAGGGAACAGGCATGGGGATTTGGTTATGTTTCTCAACTCGGCTCCTCAGAATGAAACGATCGTCTGTGCAACCCAGATAATGAAATCCGTGCCCCGGTAAAATCACCAAAATAAATAACACAACGAATATAACCAGATTTTGCAGTCATCTTCAAGTTGGTTACTTTGGTAGTGACCCACGGGCACACCTAAACGCGTTGCCAATGGAACATCATCAGAATTCCACGGAAAAGGAATGGTAACCGAAATATACCTCAAGAAAAAAAAGTTCAACAACTAAAGGCAAAGTACTTCGGTGGTTAATATTTTGTACCAGGTAGCATTCAAAGACATTGCGATACATCTGTAGAGGAGCGACAACAAAGGAAACAAGGGAGGTAATAGCATAGCGGTGCTGCTTCATAAAAACTATCAATGTCGGTCAGGGAGAACGGATCAGAATGAGGTAGAACTTGTCACGTACCTAGGTGACAGTTTAATTAAAATGGCCTATCAGAGACGGTGCTTACAAAATCTGATAGCACATGCAGAAAATGTATCAAACGATGCCCTAATAAACTCTTCAGAGGTAGATATTTTGGCACATGAAGAGTCTAGAGGGAGTATTAGGCAGCGGAATTGAGATAAATGTACCAAATTACTAGTGGATTATCGAGCACTTCTTTTTTTCAGCCAGTATTGATGGGAAGATTGTGATCTTGACTCATTGACCAGAAAGATGGGTATTTTCACCGAAGAAATTAAATATGTGCGTCATTTGGCTTTCAATTCGAAAAAAAACCGTTTTGGTGGTAGTACTGGAAAAGCCTGGAAGCACAGCCATATTGAGTTTATTGCTGATGATGTGATCTGATCAGTCGGACGTCAAATAAATAGTTTTTTCTCACCCAATGCAAGGAGTTTATATTTAAGTCTGCTGAAGTTAATTATTAGCCGCATCTCTGTTGAGCAATCAATTCATTTTGATGGATGATAGAAGATTGTACTGCTGATCAAAATAAGTTTTATCCCTTAAGGACCTGTTCCATTCCTCATTGAGGTGGTCAGGAGAGTCCCACATCTGCTACACGGACTCGATTACGATAAGCCTGATGCTCGCAAAACGACCGTGGTTTTGACTCTGAAACAGGCCATATTTATCTTCAGAAAAAGCAACGCATAAAACATTATGCAAAATTCGTCGAAAACTGTCATGGCAAATGCAAACACTCACAAACAAACGAGCTCAAGCTCAGGCGTTTGCGCTTACCCACTATTGGTTGAAACCAGCACATGATCAGTGTCTCAAGACACATGTAGCGCCTGGCGAGATATGTAGACAGGCCAACTGGCCTTCAGAAGACCACCGATGAAACCGGATCCCGTTTCGAATTGGAGTATAAAAGGCAGAGACGTTGCGCATCACGCCACGAGAATGGGAAACCTAATGGCTGGATTCTCAGGGACCGAATCACCCCACCTTCAAGATTTATCCGTCGAAGTGGAAGGTGAGTTTTTCAGCCCTAACATTTTGCTGCAAAAATGTCCCATCCTTTATTCTAACTTGCAGATCATCCTACTTTTATGCTAAAATGTCCAACACATGTAGTACCAACCATACTTGGTCAAACATAAACTGTCGTTAAAGTTTTGGGCGGGAAATAAAAAAACTAACTAGAAGAGCAAAATTTTGATGGGCCAAACACATGACACCGTAGAAGTGTTGGAGGACCGTGAAAGCTGGAACGTCATGGTGTAAATTTCTGTTCTGTACTACCCACTGCAACATTACAGTATTATTAAATTTTTGGACATTTTCCTGCAGTTCTTAATAAACATCTCTTTTCCGTCCCTATCACATGGAGCAGTGAAACTCATTGTTTGAATGCCATATAGAATGTTGTCGGTTCTACCCAACTCAGCTAAACCTTTTTTGAGCACTTCTCTGGTTGAATGCGTCACATGACTACATTATTTGTCCAGTTCATCTCTCCCGCTTCATTCTGACCACTAAGATCTTAGTGGTCTTTCTTGTTGGTATGGCGTGTGTTGTCTACACTGCTTTGCAATGGGGTTCATGACTTTTTAATAATCAAAATATTTACCCATTTAGGCAGTTGTTCTTTGCATGTTACTTTTCATTTCTTTCTAGTCAGTATCTTACCACTCCATAAACTCAACTTAGTGTGCCCCAAACTTTACAAACTTCTCAAATTTGGTCCCATCATATCCCAACTGTCGACTACTTTATTGCCTTTCATAACTTGTTCCGTGATCTATGGTTGCTCCCTTTATCCTTCTCATACCGAAAAAAGCTGATAGGGGAATATCTAGTGCTTACATGAGCTTTCAGCGTTGGTTACTCACTTGATGCAGGTGGGAATCGTTGCTCTGCATTCTTGAAGATGTGAGTGTTTTTTGGATCCTCTGAATAAATGTTAATCTCCAAAAGGCTGGCTCATGCTGGTCCCAGCATAGTCACTGTAATAAACAGCAATGATAATTTTGCAGTTGTAAGTGGTACATTGTCCGTGTTGCTAACAACTTGAGTGAATAGTCCAGTACAACACCACAGGACTGAAAGTTCTTCCTTACAAGCGTTATATCTAGCATATCGTATTACATCTTATCTGTGAAGATTTTGATCTTGTCATCTAGATTTACAGCATATTTTGTTTAACGAAAGTGGCATTGAATCCGAATTTATTTGAATCAGCTACACACATGTATTCCATCCAGCTCCCGAAATGTATCCACTCTTAGTTTTCTCCAATAATGTCGGGTGGCCACTATGAGACCAAGCATTGCTTCACAGCCTTGGTGTTTTCTCGAACGAATGTGAGGCTATATTAGATTTCGCACTGAATATACTGAAAACGATTATCTGCTTCCAATATTTTAAGGCATACGCCTGCATACTGCAAACCATTGTTGTCACATACTGAACATAGTTCAACAAGACAGGTGTTGTTAGTTGTTAGACCGGTTAGCCTTCACTGACACAATCTAGCCTATCGTGTGACATTTGGTCTTGGTTTCTCGGCTAATCTACACAGATACAGATGTCAGTGACTCCAAAAACCAAATAGCTTGATGAAATGTGATGGGAACGCACCAACTCCAGTCGCACACTGAAAAGCCTCTCAATTTCACTGTAGAGGTCTTGAAGGGAGACACACAGTAGGCATCTTTGAAAGCATCTGTAGTCTCCTGGGACGGCCCATCCTACATACTTGGTGATTCCAGGTCACCTTTCACATGGTATCTTGTGTTTCTTGGTTTTGTCATTTGGTTATTCATCAAGTGATGACAGAACTTCATCGCTTTCCGATTATTCGCTGTAAAGCTCCACTAAAAACCGATAGTTCTATATTATTTTGCTAGATGGATAAATGGGATGAAAAAATTTGCTTTTTCTTGGGAACTTAATCTCTGGGCTGCAAGTCACCGATGGATCGTCCACTATCCGGTTCTGCGGCTAAGCTTTACGTTCGTAAATTCATGAGTGAAGGCTTGATTCCATCCGAAAATTTTACACATCCTCCTGCCAAGCAGCGTCAAGAGTGGAACAACTGCAGGGGTGGTACACTTTTCTTTAGTGATTTAGTGTATGCTAAGTTCATGTTGAAACTTACGAGGTCTTTCGTTCGACAAATCACCAGCCTATATGCCGATTTAGTGTAAATTTGAAATCCATAAGGGACGCTCTTGGAACTCAGACTGACGTGTTCTGTCTGGTGAAATCCCACTCAAACCTATCGTTTGCTACTTTCACTTACAAAGCGCATTGCTCGCTCATCATTCCTTGAATCAAGCATTTTCTGCTGACTGAAGGTGTTGAAATAGGGAATACATTTCTTTGAGGAATAGTTCACCTGCTGAATTAGTTGTGAACAGTCGGATTTTCAAAACTATGGCCATATTGGTGAAAATATAACTCACTCAATCATTGCACACTTTGAAATGCGTTCACTGGTTAACCAATAATTGAATTTAAGAGAATGTTGTGAAGTAATTTCTTTTGTATTTTCCACCCTGATTGAAACTGTTACAGCTACGCAAAACGGTCGTTGTGAGGGTAAAAAACGCGAATTGCATTCGCTACTAGCTCCTAGTGAATTCCGCGAACAGGGATGCCGAATGGTGAACTACATCGCAGACTATTTAGAGAGCACTGATAAACTGAGAGTGTTTCCCACTGTTAATCCGGGATACTTGGCCCGCTTGATACCAAAAGAGGCTCCAGAGGAACCTGAACCATGGTCAAAGATTATGGAGGATGTCAACCGTGTGATAATGCCCGGGGTAAGTTATGTTACCCATCTCGAGGCGGCACTCTCGATATTCAGTTGCCAAACAAATTTATGTTGAACGATTTGCATTTTTACAGATAACGCACTGGCAACACCCTCGGTTTCATGCCTATTTTCCTTCCGGTACTTCCTGCCCTTCAATGTGTGCTGACATATTGACCAATGGGTTCGGATGCATTGGTTTCACATGGGTAAGTCAGGGTCCGACAGCATGCGATTGCACGCTAACCGAAAATACCAGGTTTTGAATTATGCTCAAAACATCTGGACTATTGACAGATTTACTGTTGGAAAATCCCCATTCTACGGAATTTCCCAACCAAGTTAGAAGTCATGCTCAGCGGATGCTTTTAGGCAGAACACCCTGTCAAAAGAGTTTTCCCCAGGTTATACCCAGTGAGCTATAGGTGCATTGCGTTTTATTCGTACCGGTTAACCTCACGTTGACAACCCTGTGAGGCTACATAAAAAATGAATATGGTGGATTGATTGACACTCTACTACCTAAATTAGAAGCATTTCATGAACGGTATCTCAATGCCTAGAATAGAAAGATTATGGTAGACAAGGGAAATGAATAATCTAATGACAATGGCACCGGGTGCTCCTGTAGATACTTATGAGAATTTGAAATTTATTCCCCTAAAAATTCCTCAGCAGACACCGGACTAATTGATGTGAACTGTGTGACTCAGAGATGGTTGTATATCTTGGCTGTACACTGTATCCTACACTGCGCATTAGCCAGTTCAGTAGAGTTTTAGTGTTTAGCTACTACCTAGAGTTCGAATCGCCCTAGAGAACTGTGTATTGCACTCCATCACAGATAAAACAACTGTAAAGTGTGTCTCGATTCAATGTTTCTCTGCTGTTCTTCAGAGATTGGCTTTAGTCGTAAAATGACATTCCAATTGAAAGTTCACATATCAGAGCACATTTGATGGCATTGCTTACTACTGTGCTTATTGCGTTTAGACCAGCTGNAGTGTAGGGAACAGGCATGGGGATTTGGTTATGTTTCTCAACTCGGCTCCTCAGAATGAAACGATCGTCTGTGCAACCCAGATAATGAAATCCGTGCCCCGGTAAAATCACCAAAATAAATAACACAACGAATATAACCAGATTTTGCAGTCATCTTCAAGTTGGTTACTTTGGTAGTGACCCACGGGCACACCTAAACGCGTTGCCAATGGAACATCATCAGAATTCCACGGAAAAGGAATGGTAACCGAAATATACCTCAAGAAAAAAAAGTTCAACAACTAAAGGCAAAGTACTTCAGTGGTTAATATTTTGTACCAGGTAGCATTCAAAGACATTGCGATACATCTGTAGAGGAGCGACAACAAAGGAAACAAGGGAGGTAATAGCATAGCGGTGCTGCTTCATAAAAACTATCAATGTCGGTCAGGGAGAACGGATCAGAATGAGGTAGAACTTGTCACGTACCTAGGTGACAGTTCAATTAAAATGGCCTATCAGAGACGGTGCTTACAAAATCTGATAGCACATGCAGAAAATGTATCAAACGATGCCCTAATAAACTCTTCAGAGGTAGATATTTTGGCACATAAAGAGTCTAGAGGGAGTATTAAGGAGCGGAATTGAGATAAATGTATCAAATTACTAGTGGATTATCGAGCACTTCTTTTTTTAACCAGTATTGATGGGAAGATTGTGATCTTGACTCATTGACCAGAAAGATGGGTATTTTCACCGAAGAAATTAAATATGTGCGTCATTTGGCTTTCAATTCGAAAAAAAACCGTTTTGGTGGTAGTACTGGAAAAGCCTGGAAGCACTGCCATATTGAGTTTATTGCTGATGATGTGATCTGATCAGTCGGACGTCAAATAAATAGTTTTTTCTCACCCAATGCAAGGAGTTTATATTTAAGTCTGCTGAAGTTAATTATTAGCCGCATCTCTTTTGAGCAATCAATTCATTTTGATGGATGATAGAAGATTGTACTGCTGATCAAAATAAGTTTTATCCCTTAAGGACCTGTTCCATTCCTCATTGAGGTGGTCAGGAGAGTCCCACATCTGCTACACGGACTCGATTACGATAAGCCTGATGCTCGCAAAACGACCGTGGTTTTGACTCTGAAACAGGCCATATTTATCTTCAGAAAAAGCAACGCATAAAACATTATGCAAAATTCGTCGAAAACTGTCATGGCAAATGCAAACACTCACAAACAAACGAGCTCAAGCTCAGGCGTTTGCGCTTACCCACTATTGGTTGAAACCAGCACATGATCAGTGTCTCAAGACACATGTAGCGCCTGGCGAGATATGTAGACAGGCCAACTGGCCTTCAGAAGACCACCGATGAAACCGGATCCCGTTTCGAATTGGAGTATAAAAGGCAGAGACGTTGCGCATCACGCCACGAGAATGGGAAACCTAATGGCTGGATTCTCAGGGACCGAATCACCCCACCTTCAAGATTTATCCGTCGAAGTGAAAGGTGAGTTTTTCAGCCCTAACATTTTGCTGCAAAAATGTCCCATCCTTTATTCTAACTTGCAGATCATCCTACTTTTATGCTAAAATGTCCAACACATGTAGTACCAACCATACTTGGTCAAACATAAACTGTCGTTAAAGTTTTGGGCGGGAAATAAAAAAACTAACTAGAAGAGCAAAATTTTGATGGGCCAAACACATGACACCGTAGAAGTGTTGGAGGACCGTGAAAGCTGGAACGTCATGGTGTAAATTTCTGTTCTGTACTACCCACTGCAACATTACAGTATTATTAAATTTTTGGACATTTTCCTGCAGTTCTTAATAAACATCTCTTTTCCGTCCCTATCACATGGAGCAGTGAAACTCATTGTTTGAATGCCATATAGAATGTTGTCGGTTCTACCCAACTCAGCTAAACCTTTTTTGAGCACTTCTCTGGTTGAATGCGTCACATGACTACATTATTTGTCCAGTTCATCTCTCCCGCTTCATTCTGACCACTAAGATCTTAGTGGTCTTTCTTGTTGGTATGGCGTGTGTTGTCTACACTGCTTTGCAATGGGGTTCATGACTTTTTAATAATCAAAATATTTACCCATTTAGGCAGTTGTTCTTTGCATGTTACTTTTCATTTCTTTCTAGTCAGTATCTTACCACTCCATAAACTCAACTTAGTGTGCCCCAAACTTTACAAACTTCTCAAATTTGGTCCCATCATATCCCAACTGTCGACTACTTTATTGCCTTTCATAACTTGTTCCGTGATCTATGGTTGCTCCCTTTATCCTTCTCATACCGAAAAAAGCTGATAGGGGAATATCTAGTGCTTACATGAGCTTTCAGCGTTGGTTACTCACTTGATGCAGGTGGGAATCGTTGCTCTGCATTCTTGAAGATGTGAGTGTTTTTTGGATCCTCTGAATAAATGTTAATCTCCAAAAGGCTGGCTCATGCTGGTCCCAGCATAGTCACTGTAATAAACAGCAATGATAATTTTGCAGTTGTAAGTGGTACATTGTCCGTGTTGCTAACAACTTGAGTGAATAGTCCAGTACAACACCACAGGACTGAAAGTTCTTCCTTACAAGCGTTATATCTAGCATATCGTATTACATCTTATCTGTGAAGATTTTGATCTTGTCATCTAGATTTACAGCATATTTTGTTTAACGAAAGTGGCATTGAATCCGAATTTATTTGAATCAGCTACACACATGTATTCCATCCAGCTCCCGAAATGTATCCACTCTTAGTTTTCTCCAATAATGTCGGGTGGCCACTATGAGACCAAGCATTGCTTCACAGCCTTGGTGTTTTCTCGAACGAATGTGAGGCTATATTAGATTTCGCACTGAATATACTGAAAACGATTATCTGCTTCCAATATTTTAAGGCATACGCCTGCATACTGCAAACCATTGTTGTCACATACTGAACATAGTTCAACAAGACAGGTGTTGTTAGTTGTTAGACCGGTTAGTCTTCACTGACACAATCTAGCCTATCGTGTGACATTTGGTCTTGGTTTCTCGGCTAATCTACACAGATACAGATGTCAGTGACTCCAAAAACCAAATAGCTTGATGAAATGTAATGGGAACGCACCAACTCCAGTCGCACACTGAAAAGCCTCTCAATTCCACTGTAGAGATCTTGAAGGGAGACACACAGCAGGCATCTTTGAAAGCATCTGTAGTCTCCTGGGACAGCCCATCCTACATACTTGGTGATTCCAGGTCACATTTCACATGGTATCTTGTGTTTCTTGGTTTTGTCATTTGGTTATTCATCAAGTGATGACAGAACTTCATCGCTTTCCGATTATTCGCTGTAAAGCTCCACTAAAAACCGATAGTTCTATATTATTTTGCTAGATGGATAAATGGGATGAAAAAATTTGCTGTTTCTTGGGAACTTAATCTCTGGGCTGCAAGTCACCGATGGATCGTCCACTATCCGGTTCTGCGGCTAAGCTTTACGTTCGTAAATTCATGAGTGAAGGCTTGATTCCATCCGAAAATTTTACACATCCTCCTGCCAAGCAGCGTCAAGAGTGGAACAACTGCAGGGGTGGTACACTTTTCTTTAGTGATTTAGTTTATGCTAAGTTCATGTTGAAACTTACGAGGTCTTTCGTTCGACAAATCACCAGCCTATATGCCGATTTAGTGTAAATTTGAAATCCATAAGGGACGCTCTTGGAACTCAGACTGACGTGTTCTGTCTGGTGAAATCCCACTCAAACCTATCGTTTGCTACTTTCACTTACAAAACGCATTGCTCGCTCATCATTCCTTGAATCAAGCATTTTCTGCTGACTGAAGGTGTTGAAATAGGGAATACATTTCTTTGAGGAATAGTTCACCTGCTGAATTAGTTGTGAACAGTCGGATTTTCAAAACTATGGCCATATTGGTGAAAATATAACTCACTCAATCATTGCACACTTTGAAATGCGTTCACTGGTTAACCAATAAATGAATTTAAGAGAATGCTGTGAAGTAATTTCTCTTGTATTTTCCACCCTGATTGAAACTGTTATAGCTACGCAAAACGGTCGTTGTGAGGATAAAAAACGCGAATTGCATTCGCTACTAGCTCCTAGCGAATTCCGCGAACAGGGATGCCGAATGGTGAACTACATCGCAGACTATTTAGAGAGCGCTCATAAACTGAGAGTGTTTCCCACTGTTAATCCGGGATACTTGGCCCGCTTGATACCAAAAGAGGCTCCAGAGGAACCTGAACCATGGTCAAAGATTATGGAGGATGTCGACCGTGTGATAATGCCTGGAGTAAGTTATGTTACCCATATCAAGGAGGAACTCTCGATATTCGGTTGCCAAACAAATTTATGTTGAACGATTTGCATTTTTACAGATAACGCACTGGCAACACCCTCGGTTTCATGCCTATTTTCCTTCCGGTACTTCCTGCCCTTCAATGTGTGCTGACATATTGACCAATGGGTTCGGATGCATTGGTTTCACATGGGTAAGTCAGGGTCCGACAGCATGCGATTGCACGCTAACCGAAAATACCAGGTTTTGAATTATGCTCAAAACATCTGGACTATTGACAGATTTACTGTTGGAAAATCCCCATTCTACGGAATTTCCCAACCAAGTTAGAAGTCATGCTCAGCGGATGCTTTTAGGCAGAACACCCTGTCAAAAGAGTTTTCCCCAGGTTATACCCAGTGAGCTATAGGTGCATTGCGTTTTATTCGTACCGGTTAACCTCACGTTGACAACCCTGTGAGGCTACATAAAAAATGAATATGGTGGATTGATTGACACTCTACTACCTAAATTAGAAGCATTTCATGAACGGTATCTCAATGCCTAGAATAGAAAGATTATGGTAGACAAGGGAAATGAATAATCTAATGACAATGGCACCGGGTGCTCCTGTAGATACTTATGAGAATTTGAAATTTATTCCCCTAAAAATTCCTCAGCAGACACCGGACTAATTGATGTGAACTGTGTGACTCAGAGATGGTTGTATATCTTGGCTGTACACTGTATCCTACACTGCGCATTAGCCAGTTCAGTAGAGTTTTAGTGTTTAGCTACTACCTAGAGTTCGAATCGCCCTAGAGAACTGTGTATTGCACTCCATCACAGATAAAACAACTGTAAAGTGTGTCTCGATTCAATGTTTCTCTGCTGTTCTTCAGAGATTGGCTTTAGTCGTAAAATGACATTCCAATTGAAAGTTCACAGAGCACAGCACATTTGATGGCATTGCTTACTACTGTGTTTATTGCGTTTAGACCAGCTGCTGGACAATAACAGACCTTCTACGTATACAAACTGTACTTATTGCGTTTAGACCAGCTGTTGGACAATAACAGACCTTCTACGTATTTCTCACAAACTGTATTTCTTCGCGTCTATTTTGACATTAGGGTTAGCATCACACTGATGCGCATAATTCAATCACGCTTTGCACAGGCATTCAGTGGTTTAACTACTGTTGGTCGTCAAATCCTTACCGGATACCTGCAAACTGCACATCAGCTAACAGACGGAGTTAGATAATGCCAAGAGTTTGTTCGTGTAGGTAACATATTTGTGTCGTCTATCCGTTTCGTTGCTTCGTTTTGATGCATGTGAATGAAATCATAAAGGCCTCGCACACAAAGAAGCGGTTCCATGAAAATCCACTAAACAATAATGGTGTACTCATCGTCCAACCACGTGTCTCTTGGAGTTAGATGTCTGTGCTAAATGCCATCTTCCACAGAAAATTTTATTTCAGACTTGCAAGATTAAGATGTGAAATAACTTGGACAAGAGAAAATTTTTTCCTGAGACTTCACAGTAAAATTGGTGAGCTCAGTATGCTGCATAAATACGGCATCATACTTCGGTTGGCACAGTATTCGAGATATCACAGTATGATTTTGACGTAACATATTATCCATAAGGTAGCTGATCACCAATTTATAGCCCAAAACTGGTTTCACATTTCTTGTGAATCATCAGATAAGAGCGATCACCAATTTTTCGTCAACCTTACGTTCTATTTTTTACAATAAATCGGAGGCAACTAGCCGAATTTGTCCATTCAGAGCTTTGTCCTTAACGGTTAATTCCAATGAATGTGTTGTTTGTAGTATTCTTCAAACGAGTGTTGCTAGTTTTTGGAGAACATAGTGCGATAACTCGAATATTTTTTCCAAAGGAAACTTTAGGTGGCCATTGTGCGTCATATTTTGTTGAAGAAACTTATGAGCGGCAGAGTCAGCTGGTAGAGTCGATTGAGTCTCTGGCTAACAGTAAAGTATTTTGCACTTGAGGGCATTTGGCCAAATGATTAGTCCCAAAACAGGCAAACCGATGGAGGGTCGTCGAATAGCTGCCAGCGACCTTAACGGTGTGTATTGCCCAAAATGTGATAACATCACTCACGCTGAAAATATCCGTCTATGAGAAACAGAACGATCTCATGTAGTGCTCGACTTCCAAAGGATTATTTCACATAGATCATTGCTTCTTAGTTGTTAATTCAAGATTATCTCAGTGCCACAATTTTCATAAAATCAGCTGACTGAAGTACAGTCTTCTGTTTTTTTTGCACCTTTTAGGAACGATAGATGTAAGTTTACGTCTTAATACTCGCTTTGAGGGACTAGTCATTTCTTTGAAAAAAACAAGTTACTTAAAAGTTCTGGCGGCATAAGTAAGGCAGATCAAATTAGAGTTGGGGGACTTAGGGAACTTAGGCCCTTTAACAAAAGCCTTTTGTTCATCTACCCGATGGCAAGACAGCTTGTGTGTGGCGGTACAGTAATACAGGTTTTTAAGGAAAAAGTTGCCGTACCTGCCGGTGCCCGCATCTTGGATGACCGGGAGACTGTTTGTCAGACCTGTATTCATCGACCAATCTGCATGAGAAATTCTCTTAGTGTAGAAGTAAAACTCCAGTGTACCGCCATGGATCGTAGTTGTGTACGCATCAGGCAACTGAAACATCATAAACGGGGGATTCAGCTGGGTTTCAGGTGGGTGTCTCGTAAAACCAAATTAGTTTGCAAATGAGTGTGTTTCGCTAGTTTCGTGCAATTTGGTTTCAAGTAGAATATAAGTTGGGCGGAAACTCGGGGACTGCGCCTATCTGATGAGTTCCAAGAAGGGCAAAACCTGCCTTGAGATGTCGGCAAACTTTCAGCAGACCTATGAGGAGGGCACAACTCGTTCAAGGCTGGATTTCAGCTGATTAGGAATGTAGATGCACGGGCGTCGACGTTCGCACCAGGATGGTCAGTTTGGAAGCATCTGATCACCAGCAGGAGCATTGTAAGAGGTAATTGTGCAGGTTTTTGCGTACATAAATTTATATACGGCTCACTCAACCAGACCAGCCTTGAATAGTTACCTGTGTTTGATGTGAGCATTTCAGTTGGTGTGACTTGCTGTCTTGGTGGTTTTGAACGCTTCGGTTCATCCACTGAGACCCTTTATCACTTGCCTCCTGAGTGAGCCCTGGCTCCTTGCTTGTTGGTCTCCTAGCCGTCTGTCTTGGCAATCCAACTGAGTTGGCGGTTCTTCGCTCGTAATGGGTTAAATTTGTGTCGGAAATTTTCCTGTTAGATACAAATGCAAGACGCAAATCTGGTGAGATATAGTCAGTGCGCTTTTCTCAGTACAACGTTGGCAGACTGCATGACCACGAGCACTCAAGGAGATACTCAGTGGCTCCAAGTTTTCTGCCGTTGATCACGAGGACTTGCTTGAAACACGTACAAAAGTAGGTTTTTACGAAACGGACAGGAAAAGCCGGTTGCACGGAAAAGAAAGTGATATCAACTCACCTGGTTTAAATACTACGGAGGTAAGTGTGCTTGCCGGATTTCTGCAGAGCTGAGAAACGAAACCCCTTGTGATATTTCGGACGAGGTTCTTAAAAGGCAGCTTTTAAATCAGTAGTTCTGTATCCTTCAAAAAACAAGGACTTCTGCATTAAAGATGGTCCTCAACCTGCAACAATGGGGAGCCACATCCTTCTGGAGGGTGTTTTTAGAACCCTATTTCCTGTTTCAATGCTAGACCCGCAATTTAACCGCTTAATACGGGAAATTTAGGATTTTCTGATTGGATCAAGTGTCCTGCTCTCTAGCACCCGCACCGGACGGAGGTGCTGAATTTTTTTGGAATCCGATCGTGTTTTCCGACAGACTCGTTTCCTTTGCTGTGATTTTCTTTTCATGGATATAAGTGCCCCCTGATAGCTGAAAGTTTCAAATAAGTGCATCAGTCCGGTAATTTCACTTTGATTCTTCAAACCTTACGAAAGCACCTTACTGTTGTTTGTGATCATTAATCAAGCACTTTTACGTAACATGCCGCGTGTTTCCAGGCTTCCAGTCCCGTGTACACCGAATTGGAGATTGTGATGATGGACTGGCTGGCCAGACTGCTTCATCTGCCAGAATATTTCCTCTCAGGAGGTGATGGAGGAGGAGTGATCCAGGTAAGGATTGTATCACATTTTAAGCATACTTTTTCCAAGTGCACATTTGTTGCACGCGAACAGCATGATCCGTCTTACAATCTAATTCGATGAGAGGCCTCTCTCTTCCGCTGATTCGATCAGGCAGAGCAGAAAGGGTACCGTTTGGTCTTCATCAAAATGCAATGCAAAACGGACCTATAGATTAAGTCTGTTAATGTTTCGGTCTTGGTCCGGGTTGTCTGAGTTGGTGCTTAGAAGTAAAGACACTTTATGTATCGTTGGCTATCTGGCAGACGATCTATTTGCACCCTCGGTCTCATCGTTTTAAGGCTTGAACTAACTAAACTGTCATGACAACTCATCGGTTACCCATCAGTGTGTTGTTCTTAATTAGCATTAGCACGGGGACTGTGTGTTAGCCAATAAACGCGTGACACAGGAATTTCATCAGGATTTAGACAATACTAAATCGTCCCTTCTGAAGTACGGGTTTTTGCTACTGAAGGGGATGAAATCACTCAGATTTGAGCGGTACAAAATTCTTTATTCTTTTATTTTAATGTAGGTCAAATATTTCGGGGAATGCTGTCACCTAGACAGTACGCTGGTGAACAAAGTCGATTGTACCTGTGATAATTCGTAAAAGGACTTTAAACGGTATGTGTTCACGGGAAATACGGAAAATACTTGTGCAGCATCTGTCTTGAAACCAGTTTCATAGAGTGGTGGACGTTGTAGAAGGTGATGCTTCTGAATGAATGTATGTTCATCCTTCAAATGAAAGTTGTTGACATTATTTAATCGTGGTGAGGGAAGTGTCGGTGCAGTAATTAGTCCTGACCGTTTCAACCAAAAGGATAACAATAATCCCTTATTTGTTTAGACTCTACGAAATTAGCAAAAACAGATAGTGCGGAAATTAGGGCGGTAGTTACTAACACGCTGTATCTGTTAAAATAGAAAAGTTCGCATTGGACACTTACAGTGCCAGCCAGTGCGTCTGCTTTCGAGTTTTTTTGCGCCGGTGACAATATGCTTCATACAAGTGCAGTGAACGCATACATGTGAAATGAATATGGTTTTACTTAAAATAGGATGGACGGGGTAAGTGGCCCTAGAGAAAAAAAAACAGTTTATATCACCGGCAGCTTTGCTGTTATATGGTTGGCGACACCATGGAATCAACTAGGAGAAAGTCCATCTTTATGGCAGGGCAGATTTAAAAGCATGGCGCTCATCAACCACAAATTTCGGACTTCGCAATGTAAAAGATTTCGGTCCCCACTAATTGGAACCGATTAACACTCGCGGGGACTTTTTTCTACCACTCGTATATCTAAGCCTCCATTTAAATGCTGCTAGTATTCGAGAAACACCATCTGGAAGACTGTTTTCGAATATTGCATTTCAGTAATTACCTCAAAAGGATAGAAATGCACGGTTAAAATCAGCAACAATGTAGAACTTTCTACAGTGTCAGGTTTTGGTGAATCTCTTCATATGTCCGACGTAACCATCAGTAACGTATTTACCCCATCCTTTTGGGACTCACCGCCGTAAGCTATACGGTCCAACAAACCAGCGTATTATAGAACCTCCATTGATCTGCCGAAAAACTGGAGCAGCCAAACACGCACCAAACGGTAACACGGGTCTTCTAATCGATACAGTCCAGGGATTAATCCATTGGGTACGAGTTAGAGTCTATGCGTCAAAAAGAGCGTGGAATGGCCGAAGCGACCAACAACCCGTCAAATGAAATAAATGGGAGCCTTGATTTTGTCCTGTTTTATCAGTGATTCTTCTCGTCAGTAAGCAGAGTTTACAGCCGTTTTTTCACCGATAGGAATGGTACGTTGTGGGTATAATAATTTACAATCGTAATTGATGACTGCCCTAGTCCAATGAAAGAAGAATAAAAATGACAATTCATAAGATTGTCTTTCAAATTCGTACTACGCTTATTCTCCTGTAACGTTATGGAATGGTGTGGGAGTTATCTGCGGGTAGATTTTATTCACAAACCGAACAATCCCGCGATCGTTCACTGTAAACACCGGGTAAAACAAGTGTGAGGGATTTCTTTGTGTATGTTCAGAACAGGTTACAATTTTTTGAATGAGTACAAGTTGTAGCAGTCCTTTGAGCTTACAGTCACATTTCAAGCTATGTATTCGCTTATTCAGTAGTCCGTCCTGGGCGTGAGCACAATCGTGACTGGGAATAATTAGTACTTCATGGTATCGATTGCTGTTTGCGATGCAGACGGATTTGAGAATCAAGAGATATCGTAGCATTCTATAGGTTACCGAGTGATCCGGTCTCGAGTAATGTGGGGGAATCAAGCCTACTTTTGCAATCTCGCTTGAGTATAGGCTAAGAATGTGCTTGCACGAAACAGTATATCATTGTAAAAGTAAGCCCTATAGGTTGTCGCACCTAGTCAACAATGTTCATTAGGGTTACCGTAGCTTTTGGAATCATACACACTTTTATTTCACAGAGAGATCAAGCGTAAGTGAAGATTTTTCCAAATTTCCTTTATAAAAGATGATGTCAATAAGCCCAGTCCATCAGACAGAACTGCCGCTTTGTTTAAAGTTTGCATCCGATTTACGATGAAAATTTCCATTGATTTTGTTTGTTTTAGGGAAGTTGTAGTGAGGCGACCCTTATTTCCTTGTATGGAGCACGAAACCGAGCTATCAGTCGATACCAGGATGAACATCCTGGTGCTACAGTCTACGAGGCAGCATCCAAACTGGTTGGGTATTACTCAGATCAGGTAAGTGTGGATGAACACATTTATAGCTCACTTTAACGTAAGCATCATGTGCTAGAACTTACAATATAATATGACAGTTGTTGCATCAGTTTGTTCCTGAGACTCTCGAGTTTGGCTAAAACTCCCGTTTGCTCTCAACTGCAGCTAATTTCAGCAAGCGTTTACTCCTTTGTTGCTTATTTAGTAGTCGCCACTTATGCCCGTACATGGATGTTAGCTAACGTGTTTTGCGAATTCAGACAGTCTTTGATCTGTCGTGAAGATCATTCCAGTTTATCCTGTTCACCTTCTAATTAGAATACGCATTTTATGGATATCTTAAGTTTCATTCTTGTTTGCATCGGTCCTGAAAAATATCCTTTTTTGTGATGGTATCTTCGAAGATTTCAGAAAGTGTGACTGTATGAACTATTCAGTTTTGCACGCCTTGCTGAAGACAAGCCAAGAATGATACGAAAGCCGAAAAATCTTGTGGCTATACCAGCCGCTGGACATTCTGTCAGCCTGATTGATGTAGTTTGGGAATTACACACATTTACACACTAAGCTGGTTTTAACTAGAGGCTTAGCTGAATTTCAGTTAACTCGCTTGTTTATAGTATTCTTCGACTGAGTTCACTGAACAGACACACTCTCATGTTTCGGGCGGTTTTTGATATTCGCGGACTGTGCCGCAAGAGCAGCGAACCGGTGTTGGGCTTTTCAAGGATTTTCAGCGACTGCATGAGTTCCCCCCCCCCCCCCCTAAAATAATCACAACGCAACTAGCCGTGTATCAGGTTGTCTGAAACTATCTCCGTTTGCCCACATTTCAGTGTGTGCAGGTTGAACCGCAAAGGTTGAACCCTGGAGTGGTTTGTGTGTGATCACACCAGTGTGAGCATTTTCAAGAAGACATGAGTAAACCACGTAATGCTGTCCAAACCATCTTCTCACTTCGTACTGAGCTCCCAGTGCACTCTAGCCAAGACAAGCTTTGAGACTTATGTGCCCATTAGGCTAGTTAGGATACCGTTTGCGGTTGCACTACGAAATGATTAAATTGCTGGCATTTACACGAGACCACATTCCAAAATACTTCAGGGATCCATGTTGATTGAAGTAATCATTGGAGTGTCGTCACCGTTGCTGATGGGATGCAATTTAACATGCAAGGAAGAGAGGCATAAAACAGTGCTGGTTTACCATCCTCATACAGAACCCCCTACTTAGTTAGCCAGAAAAAAACGATAAATGGCGGGACTTTTAACCAAATTAGAAAAAACTTTAGAACTTTGTACGGGTATTATGTGAATGGCCCTCAATATCATGAGTTAATCTGTAAAAGTGAAAATTCAGTCAGACCACCCGGGTTGAACCTTGTCACTTCTCATGGATTTGGCATCTGATCCTTTGCAATGGAATTGTGACTGAAACACTGCGACAACTTCGATGCCTAGTTTGCACCTAGTTACCATCTCCGGTTAGGAACGTGCTGTTCATTCGTTCATCTCAAATTGGAAGAATCGACATTGTAATTATCCTCCAGCTGTTTCACCCCATAACAAAGATATCTGGGTTTCTTTGTGCAAACAACACTGAGTACACAGTGAGTACACTGCTGCATATAGAAGATAATCAGGTCGTTTGCTGTTCTAATTTCCTTCCAACTATGTCAAATTATGAGTAGTATCAATTAGGAGGATGCTGTGAAAATAGCCTGTTCGGCCCTTGTACAATATGACCTATTACGTGGTTCGTTCTTTGCAAACCACACCAAGTGAACAAAACAGGGTTGATCACCTGATATTGTCAATGTTCATCAACGTCGTGGGTACGTCTTGAGGCAGATGTGGTCGGCCCATGTACTCCATTGAATTCAATCAGCGACATCCCCGAAATGTAAAATATCTTTTCTATGTGATCGCGCCAACAGAACGTGGAATTTGTTGTCCATATCCTCATGACTCACTTGCTGCCCAATGATGCAACACATTTGTTTTCGCTAAGCGTCGGAAGGACGAAAGACCAAAACTGCATGCACTAGCCATCGCAAACGGATTTGGCCCGAATGACTTCCGCCAAACAACCGTGATCATTCCGCGTGCAACCTAATGATGTACACTTTACTATCAGTTCCCCACGTTCAGTTCTTGACACTGGCGTTATTATCACATATTTCCACCGGTGGGCCTCAGCCAAGCCCTGTATTTGCAAGTGGTACATTGCTAGTCAAAGTGGATGAAAACAGACTTTTTCAGAACTACACGGTAGTTTGGAGACTTACGCATATTACCTGAATGGAAGACGTTTTTGCGATGTGCCATCTACGCCTGAAATTTAGCCA